TCATAACATACAGATGTCAAATGCAAAGAGGACCTGGACTTCGCATTGAAAATAGACAACATCTGCTTGGGTGTTTCTTCTCCACCCCCGAGCCCTCCACCCCTCCTCTTTGTCTTCCAGAACTCCTATCTCCTCTTCTACTGCCGCAACTGCTGCTCCCTCCCTGTACTCTTTTGCCCCATTTTCAGCTTGTCCTCAAAACCCTTATCAATCACATGAAACCTGCACTTCCTCCCTCGACCCCACTCCCACCCAGCTGCTGACCTCCCAAGTCCCCTGCTGGTGAACATAGTCACCCTGACTCTCTCCTCAGTCACCAACCCACTCCCCCTCAAAACTGTGGTCATCACCCCTCTCCTCAAAACCCAACCTTGATCTGTCAAATATCAAACAAACTAAGAACCCAAACTTTATTCATCAAACTAACACCTGGCCCAACGTAAACCTGCTCTTCCTTTTTATTGTCCTGGAATGCAGTGTTGCCACCCAACTTTGCTCACAACTCTCCTCCCAATCCCTTCTTGAGCCCCTCCATTCTGGTTTCCGTCCTGCTCACAGCACAGAAACAGTGCTTGTCTGGGTTACAAATTATGTCCTCTGTCTCTGTGACCAGGGCCCCCTCTGCCTTCTTGCCTTCCTCAACCTCTCCATGCCATCCTCTTCGATCACCTCTCATCCCTCATCCACCTCAGTGGAACTGCTTTCTCCTAGTTCACGTCTTAGTTAACCCACCATTTCATCTCCTCTAATGGTTTCTTATCCCTCCCCCACAATGCCACTTGCGGTGTACCCTAAAGCTCTATTCTCAGCCCCCATCTTTTCTTCATTGACATGTTCCCTTGTGATATCATCCGCAGACATGGGGTCAACTTCCATATGTACGTGGACGACACCCAAATCTGTTTTTTTTNCCGCTAGTCGCAAACCCAGCCCTACCGTTGTTCTGGTTGTCTGCTTGTCAGATATCAAGGCCTGAATGAGTGCCAACTTTCTGGAGCTGAACATGGACAAGATGAAAGCTATCGTCCTTGTCTGCCATCAGTGTCTTACATCTGTGGTTCTGATTCTTCCCTGCTTATCCCTCAGACTCACCAAACCTGTATGTAACCTTGGCATCAACTTGATCTCCAGTTATCCTTCCTATTCCACATCCAGAACTACCTTCCTCCATCTCCACTTCATTGCCTGCCTTCACCTCAACTTACTTCAAATGCTGCTGAAGCCCTCATTCATGCTTTCATCACTTCTGCTATTTGCAGAAAACATTGATTTCAAGATCCTCATTCTCACTATCACATATCTTCATGCCCAGGCAACTTTCCAGCCCTCCGATCTGCTCACACCCACACCCTTTGCTTAGCTGGCACCGGTCTACTGCACGTCCCCTCCACTCCACAATTGACCAGGGTGCTTTGAACCACTGTGGCACAAATCTCTGGAGCTCTTTGTCTCAATCCCTCTGTCTTGTCCTCTCTTTGCCCATCTTCAAATCATACCTGAAGATTTTCCTCTTCGACCGCACCTTCGGTCGCCTCCCCCACCTTACCAGCTCGGCGTCGAGTCACACCACTGTCGAGGTAGGCAAAATCATGAGGGGTTTTGACAGAGTGGAAACATATTTACTTATTTAAAGCCTCGGTTTACCTAGCAGTAAGTGGGAACCCAGTTGTTAGTTGATTGGCGGATTGCTTTCCAGGAGTAATTATCCATTTGAAAGAAAAAGTATATTTGGTCACTCAATTCACGACTATTTGTGGAACAATTGGCTGCCGTATTTCGCCCACAGAATATAAGTTCAGTACACTTTACAGTATATCCTGTGAAGTGCTTTGAGATGTCTCAATAACGTGATAAGGCACTATATCAAATACAAGAATTATTATCAAACACAAAATACTGTGGATTCTGGAAATCTGAAACAAAAACAATAGTCGCTGGGAACACTCAGCAGGTCAGGCAGCATCTATGCAGAAAGGAAAGTGAGTCAACGTTTTGGGTCCACAACCCTTCGTCAGCAAGGATTATTATTATTATTTCCAGTAGTAGAAGAGTCAGTGACTAGGTGCCATAGTTATGACAGTAAAAGTTTGAAGCACAGCCTCCGTTAGAGGGGTTGAGGGATGTGCAAAAGGGTAAGCCGGCTGAATGAAAGGGGCAGGTTGAGGAGTGGGGTGTGAGAAGGTTCGAGAGGTAGTATCAGGAAAAAAGCAAAAGGAGAATTTGTTTCACTAAGTGAGTTGATGGGATGTGGAATGCCCTGCCAAGTCAAGTGGTAGAGGCAGAGCCCATTGTGGATTTCAAGAGGAGAGTAGACAGGTATATGAAGGATAGAGACTTGAAGTGGTGGGGATAGGGTAGGCAGGAATTGAATGAACAGCTTGCTCTGAGAGTTGGTGCAAACCCAGTGGATCAAATAGCCTTCTTCTGTGTCATAAATTGCTATGATTCTATGATCCACAGAGGGAAGAGGTGGTGGGGATATAGGGAAGGGAGTCCAATATGTAATAATTCTAAGAATTACTAATAATAATCTTTACATTTGGCACAGCATCTTTTACATCGAGAGAATGTCCCAAAGCGCTTCAAAGGATACACTGCAAAGTGCAGTGATTGTGTATTTTGTGGGCAAATGCCAATTTGCACACAGAAGTGTCCCACAAACAGCCATGCAGTGAATGACTCCAGGTGCTGTATTGGAGTTAAAATCTTAGATTGTGTAAAATCTATGTCCGGATATAGGACTTAAACACACAACCATCTGACTCAGGGGAATGTGCTACCAACTGATCCAGCAGGGCCAATCAGCAATGACATAGCACCTTCCACATAAAACTGAATGTCTCAAAGTGTTTTGCAAAATATAATTGAATAAAAACGAAGGGAAAGTTGTTATAGAGACAAGCAAAGCATCTTACTTCCCTCAGTCTTATCCCATACACATTAATGAGATAAGTAGACGAGCAGTCAATTCATTTGAATTTGGAGGTGAATTTGGATTTGGAGAAGAACATTAACCCAGTTAATTGGAAGAAAGATTCATTCACTTAGCAGTAGAAGGTAATATGCCACCTAAGGAGGTAATAAAAATGCTTGCATCTGATATACTTTAGTACCTTTCATGAGAAGAGGATGTTTCAAAGCGATTCAAAGGATTTACCGTACATTGTAGTTATTGTGTATTTTGTAGGCAAATGCGGCAGCCAATTTGTGCACAGCAAAGTCTCACAAACAGCCATGAATTAAATGACCAATTTTATCTTGGGAATTGTTGGCCAGTATACTGGAAGAAACTCCCAACCCTATTTGAATAGTGCCATTGTAGCTTTAATATCCACCTAAACAGGCAGACAGGAACTTGGTTTAACATCTCATCAAAAGAATGGCACCTCATAAAATGCAGCATTCCCGGAGTACTGCAATGCAGTATCAGCCTAGACTGTTCAAGGTCAAATCCTCAACTTATGGCTTGAGGCTTGCAGCCTATTGACTCAGAGGTGAGAGTACTATCGATGAGCCTGGGCTTATAACTCAGTAAGTAGTGTTTGAACCAAAGGAATTAGAAACATCACAACTATCAGTGATTAAATAGAATGGGGGAAAAAAACTGTAATTAAATCAATAACTACTATTGTTGCAGAAATTCCCTTTAATATGGACCATTTATCTTTAATTTTGTTTTTTTTGTCAAGTTTGACTAGAATAAAAATACTATTTACCCCCTTTCATTTTGATTTAATTATTTTTAATGTGCTGGCTTTTCAAAGAGTTCCATTTACTCCTGTTAGTCCCATTTACGTACTCTTTTCCCATACCATTTAGCAATGTTAGCAATAACACAATCACCCAGACATTTATCTTGAAGTGGAGAATGAGTGTTATATAAACAAGGTTTAAATGCTGGTATTTTTCTGTGGATAGATTTTAGGTTCTAAATTCTACCCAGTCTCAGCCTGTTATATTACCTTGTCTTAAATTGAAGATTGCACAGACTTGCTATGTAAAACCAACTCTTCTACTTTAAAGATGAACTGAAAAATATTCCACAAATTGTGTGATCTTAAATTTTAAGACAAAATGGTCTTACAGGCTAAAACTCAGCAGAATTTCAGTCCTGCCATCACCTGAAGCTTCAGTGAAAAGCAGACAGGGGCAGTAAGGAGGATGAAGGACATACATTTTTTGGCTATTGGCGTTTACCTGCAAAATATAAAGTCACTACACTTTACAGTAAATCCAGTGTTGCACACTTTGAGATGTCCTCCTGATGTGACATGCTGTACTAAATGCAAAGATTATTACATTTAATGTTTTTTATCACTTCTTTATCTCAGTGTGTGTGTGGGGGTGGGTGGTTGGTAGGTGTTTTTTTTCACTGCTGCCTATCACTTTTATAACTCTCCAGAATAGAAAGGCTTTCTTCCTCGAAAATGTCAGCTGGAGTCTTGTTGTCACATTCTCTCAGTATTGTTACTCCGAACATATTTGTTGGCCACAGAAACACTGCTACGTTTTCATGAAGAAAATCACTTTTCTGACACAGCTGACACAAACCATCCTAAAGTGTTGACTTTTCGGGAGAACAGTGGACTTTTAGGGAAAAATATTCCCAAGTAAAGAAAACGAACAATTGATTTATTTACTATAATCCACAACATACGATCAAAGACAAAGAAGATTAATCTTAATAAAGCCAATCTCACCTAGGCTATCAAGGCTGTAACTCACGGGGTTGAAGACTTGTCAGATTTATGAATGAGACAGACTGATCTACTATCAACGGTTTGGCTATCAATGAGTATGTTTCCTCGGAGCCAGTTCAGCTCAAGGTTTAATTTACTTGAAATGGTACAAGACTGAGTGTACCCACCAGATGAGTGTCCGACACAGGCCATGGATTTTTTGGTGGTGTTGGACATGTTCTCAATGTCATGGACCAAGATGGTAATGGTACTTTGATTCTTCATTTATTTTTTGTTTCAGAAACGTTTTAGACTAGAAACATGTCTATAGGTGTGGAGCAGGCCTGCCATCGATGCATCTCAAAGATTGCCAGTAACGGTAAGTACCATTGTATCGTTGGGGTGAAACTTTACGATGTTTCAATAACAACATGCGATTGCAAAGCACCATTCACAAAGGGTAATGCTCTTACGTGCTTTACAATGACAGTGGAAACCCGAACAGCAGTTGGGATAGGATAAGAGTTGACTGAAGGCGTGGTTGAACGATTATGTTATAATAATAATAGATTATGATAATTATATCGATGGTTGTGCTTTCCCCTAAGCTCTGGAACTCCCTATCTTAATCCCTCTGTCTTGCCCCATTTTTATCCATCTTTAAATTCCATCTTAATACCTACCTCATCACCACCACCAACAACAACAAAACAAATTGCACATATATATATATATATATATACATATATGTAGCACTTGTTGAGCTAGGAGGACAACCCAGGGCATTGGACAATAAGGAGTTTGCATCCGAGCTGCGGGTTGGGTTCAGAGAGGGGTGAAGGGTGGAGGGGGGAGAGGGGGTGGAGGGCTGGAGGATCAATCAAAAAGAAAGATCTTGAGATGGGCCTTGAAGGAGGCAAGGGAGGTGGCAAGGAGAAGTGGCTTTGGTCACCTATTGTTCCCCTTCTTCCTTGCTCGGTGTCCAACCATTACCATGAAATGGGGAGATTTCCAGTACCAGAATGTCCCCCAATGCGATAATTATCACAAGAGTTCTTTATAAGACAGCTATCGCATTGAATATTTTTTTTCATCCTTATACTGTGCGCAAATGGCCTCTGCATTTCACCCACAAAATACACAGTCAATCCACTTTACAGTATAATCTGGGAAGTGCTTTGAATGATGTGCTAAGGCACTTTATCAAATGCAAGGATTATTATTATTATTGTTACATTTATCTAGTTGCCTTTTGAAAGCTGATATCACAAGTGGAAAAGTGATGCTGATTTTCACAGTTCTTTAAAATAAATATTCTTTAATTATTAATTAAATGAATGTTTAAGCCTGAAAATGTTCCATTTCTTGCATGTCTTCACTTCCTTCAAATGTTACTCGGATATTGTAATCAAAACAATCTGTGTTTCTTTTTGGATTTCTCCCAGCGTGCTTTATATTTGGACTGTTGGCCTTTCTTGCACTGCCATTATCAATGGCTTTTGTGGGTAAGATTTTCTTTACTGAAAGTTGCATGCTTATTAAAATGAATACATTAATACTTGCACAAGTGGTACCTCTCTAAATTGTACAATTGCCTAAGTTGTACATTCTCCTGAGTCCCATTCAGTTTCCTATTAAAACCACTTACATTTCTTTGCACGACTTGTTTTAATCACCTCCTACCTCATAATGCTGCCCCCCCTACCCTCCATTACTCCCGCACTTGAATCGTGGGAAATGAGATCCTGACCTGTCGATACATGCTCACCTATCGGTTGGCTGCATTGAATCGTTAGAAACATAGTCTTGATCCGTCGACTTATGTGTATGAAAGCTTCATTTCCCAAGGTTCAATGGGATTCTGGTTATCAGATAATAATAATAATAATAATAATAAATTGGTCACTCAATCCACGACTGTTTGTGGGACGCTGCTGTGCACGATTGCTTCGCCCACAAAATATACAGTCAATTCACTTTATAGTATATTCTGTAAATACGCATGAGTATTGTAGATTATTGATTAAATTGCATTTTCTATGACTTATACAATTTGCTTGCAACTCGGACCTTGCGTACGTCATATTAAATGTTACGATTCCGACTAATACAGCTAAAACAAAATTCGGTTAAATATTTCAGCAAAGTGGAGTGTTGTCCGTAAGGGCTACATTTTTAAAGGAATTTGAGAGCGTTGACATTTTCGAGGCAAATTATTTCTTTAATAGGAATTCTCATTACAATTCCTGAGCATGCACAGGCAAAATCTAATCTTTGTGTTATTTTCTGATGTTGGGTGATCGTTTACCACTGAGGGAGGAAAGTTGCTTTTGAAGAAAAACAGAAAAAATTCCTGGGGTCCAATTTGCAGTATTTTTTAACGAGATTCTTAAGTAGGGAATCTGAGTAACACAAATGAGGACTCCTCATGGTAACCAGAAGTACAGCAAAATGACTTGTGGGAACTCTGCGGATCCTCTACAGTGGAGCTACCGCAGGTCAATGGAAATTCAAGCTGGATTTCTTATTAAAAGAATTTCGTAAATTAGATATCCCTGTTTTGTTTCCTTGTATTGTGTTACCACTGTTGTGTCGCCTCTAAGTTTGCAACTGATCTTAACTTGCTCGTGAACATAAACCAATTTAATGATACTGTACAAAGCACGGGCAAATTTCACAGTATGTGTGTAGCTAGGCTGTCCTGCCTAGATTTGGTTGAGAACATAGTTGTATTTCAGTCTAATTGATGAGCCAAACAAGTTGGCCAACCATCAACAGTGCCTTGGATTCACTGTGGACCTGCCAGGATTGGTTAAAGATAATAATAATACTAATCCTTGCATTTGATAGCGCCTTTTCACATTGTTGCAGTGTCTCAAAACGATTAACAGAATATACTATAAAGTGTAATGACTGTGTATTTTATGTGTCTCCTGTGAGGCAGTTCACTCAAAGAGAATATTCTTCAATGTGATTTTCACTTTATTGACCTTGAAAGGATGAATGGTTAAATGCACACATCGGGATTTGAACCCACAATCTTCTGGGTCCAAGTCTGACACCAACATTTTTTTTGATAGTTCGTTATTTTGGTGTCAGTGGATTTTTTTTAAAAAGTTTTTTTTCATGACTGGTATCTATGTTCAGAATTGAATGCTGTAGCGTAGATGATGAGGAATACAGCACTTTTCATATTTAGATACACTTGTGTGTGTGTATACTTGTGCATCTGCCCCTATCTGCCCCACCATCAGAGAGTGGGCTATCAGACATTCTGCTCCTGTTCTCTGGAACTCCATGCTGGAATCCCTCTGACTCGCTCCCTTCCTCAACTCAACCAAGGTCCGTCTCAAGACCTAAGTCCCCTCCTCTTCACCCTCTATATGCGCCCCCTTGGTGACATCATCCGCACCTCAGGCGCTGACAGCATCAGCAGCCAAGGCTGCGCTCTCCATCTCTCTAAGTCAGTCAGGAACCTCGGTGTTCTGTTCGACCCTGAGCTGTCCTTTCTCCCTCATATCCGCACCACAACTGGCACCGCCTTCCATCACCTCCAAAATATCGCCAGCTTACGGCACTACCTCACCCGTCATGCCGCTGAAACTCTGGCCCACGCCTTTATCACCTCAAGGCTGGACTATGGGAACTCTCTCCTCGCCGGCCTTCCCGGCACCTCCCTCCACAAGCTGCAGGTCATTCAGAACTCTGCAGCTCGTGTACTGTCCCGCACCAGGCTTCGTGACCACATCACTCCCACCCTCGCCTCCACTGGCTTCCCATCTCCCAGAGGATCGAATTCAAGATCCTCATCCTCACCTACAAGGCCATTAACGGCCTTGCTCCCTCCTACCTCTCCGACCTACTATCCCCCTACGTACCCGCCCGTACCCTCTGTTCCTCTGGCTCTGGTCTGCTCCACATCCCCCGCCCCAACCGCCCTACCATTGGTGGCCGGGCTTTCAGCCTCTCAGCCCCCAGGCTCTGGAACTCCATCCCCCAGTGCCTTCGCCTTGCCTCCTCCCTTTCCTCCTTCAAGGCCGGTCTCAAGACCTTTCTCTTTGACCGTGCCTTCAGCTCCCCTCTCGATTCTCTACCCCCTCCTCGCTCCCTCCCTTCCCTCCCCCACCCTGACCATTTCCCCCTGCTCGGGTCCCGACCCAACTGTCCAGCGCCTTGGGACGTCCTCTATAAATGCAATCTTGTTGTTGTTGTTGTTGTAAGTCTTTGTCCTCTCCTTCAGTCATATCTCTCCTAGCCATCCCTTTCAGCTCCACCCTCAGCTCAGGTGCCCAGCCAACCGTGTTAAGTGCTTTGAGATGTCCTCCCGATGTGAAAGGCGTTAAGTATATATAAATTATATTGCATTGTGTGTAACTCACCATTAACTCTACGTCAATCGTTTATTCTAGGAATGAAGTTTTTAAACAGTTGCCCTATTCAGCCATCGATTCCATTGTATTTGCTGGTTGGAGGAATTATTGGAAGTTTGAAGGTAGAGTATCAAATTAAAATAAGATGTATTGTTTTGGGTCAGCTGGGTGTCTGGCACATGCGGAAGCCCATCACCACGCTTGAGAGTGTCCAAATCAAACTGAGAGAATCACATATGCATGAAAATGTCCCATTGCCTGGAAAAGAGTGTACACTTTCTCCCCAGAGACACTCACTCTGCTTTCCTAATTGCCTAATTCCAGGAATTATAAAATCTATCTTTCAACATCTCTGTAAACATGTCTTCCTCCCCCAAATTATCAAGCTAAAACTGGAAAATGCAGCCTCTTGAAAATAAAAATAATACAATAAATAATAATCTTTGAAATGATGAACAGCATCTATATCTTTAGGTTTTAGATAATAATAATAATCCTTGCATTTGATATAGAGCCTTATCACATCGTTGAGATGTTTCAAAGCGCTTCACAGTATATACAGTACTGTAAAGTGGCATAATTGGGTATTTTGTGGATGAACACTGAACACTGAAATGTCTGAAAGCATGTCATAGCAAATTGCGTTCAAGTGTAGTGACTGTGCCCACATTTTGTAGGTGAAACGCAACAGACAATTTTGCACACAGCAATAGTCCACAAACAATTATGAAGTGAAAGATAAATTTTATCTGGGGGATTGTTGGCCAAGGCACCAAGAGCAATTCCCTTTTCTTTTTGAATAGTGCCATGGAATTTTTAACGTTCACCTGAACAGGCAGACATGGCCCCAGTTTAATGTGGCATTGGAAGGATAGCACCTCTGACAATGCAGGGCTTCCCCCAGCTCTGCACGGGAGTGTTCAGCAGGGACTGTGAGTTCAAAGCCCCAGTGTGGGTCTTGAAACCACACCTTTCTTACTCAGAGGTGAAAATGCCATCAACTGAGCAAACAGATGTGATAAACAACAACAACAACAACAACATTCCATTTATTGAGCGCCTTTCACGTCGGGAGGACGTCCCAAGGCGCTGCACAGTTGGGTCAGGACCCGAGCAGGGGGGAAATGGTCAGGGTGAGGGGAGGGAGCGAGGAGGGGGTAGAGAGTCGAGAGGGGAGCTGAAGGCACAGTCAAAGAGAAAGGTCTTGAGACCGGCCTTGAAGGAGGAAAGGGAGGAAGCGGCGAAGGCACTGGGGGATAGAGTTCCAGAGCCTCGGGGCTGAGAGGCTGAAGGCCCGTCCACCGATGATAGGGCGGTTGGGGCGGGGGATGTGCAGTAGACCGGAGCCAGAGGAACGGAGGGTACGGGCAGGTAGGTAGGGGGATAGTAGGTCGGAGAGGTAGGAGGGAGCAAGGCCGTGAATGGCCTTGTAGGTGAGGATGAGGATCTTGTATTGTGTTGTTAAATATATGTTGTTAAATATATATAGATTAATATATTTTTCTACAGAGATTAAATATACTGACTAGTAAATTGCTCACAGAGATGCTGTTAAATGCGCTTGTGGGTCGTTCTATTAATTATCCTACTGTTAGCAAGGATATTAGACATTGGATTCAGAATTTGAGGAACTGAGATTACAACCAGAATCTTAAAATCTTGAGCAAATGCTATGTTGCTAAAGGATTATTAGACATTTGAGACCTATAAAATGGAGAGAGGAAAGAGGAGCATATGCAGAAAAGGAATTGGAAATACAAGGGTCCAATTTCCAGTATTTCTTAACAGTATTTCTTTAATAAGGAATCCAAGGCGTGCAGATGGAAACTCCTTCCAGTAACAGGAGGTATGGCACACTGAACCACATGAACTCTCCTCTGACGTGATCTACACCCAGAGCAGAGTTCCTGCAGGTCAATGAGAATTCTAACAGGATTCCTTTTGAAGGAGTCGTGTCAAAGCAAATTTTGCTGCGTGCAAAATTGTCTGAGGTTGTGGGTTCAAGCCTCATTTTGGGACTTGAACTCGTATAGTCCAAGGTGACGCTGCAGCGCAGTGCTGGGGAGGTTGTTGCGTTGTTGGAAGTGTCCTATCTGCCTGTTCGGATGGATGTTAAACATCCAAGGATACTATTCAAAAAGAGAAGGGAGTCTCTTCCACTGTCCTGGCCAACGATCCACCAAATAAAATTGGGCATTCCCATCACGGCTGTTTATGAGACATTGCTGTGTGCAAATTGGCCACTGCATTCATTTACAAAATACAGTCATCACACTTTACAGTGTACGCTGTGAAGCATGTTGATATGTCCTCCTGATGTGAAAGCTGCTGTAATCGAATATAATTGTTATCATTATAAAGGCCTGAATTTAGAATATTTCTCAACCCAGAAATCATATTTAAGGAATTCTGGCAAAAAAAAAAGCTCAAAAAGAGGCAAAGACGAAAAAGAGAAAGGCTTCTCTTCATTGTTAAGAAACTCCATTTGACAAAATACTCCACGTGTTGAGCACACAAGATACAGGAACCAATATCGTTCTTGTTCAATGGTGCGTGAGGATTGCCCTGTTTTGCAGAGACTAGAACCATTTAAAGTGAAAACAGCGAAGAGCCCTTTGCAATACTTTTCAGCAACACTTACTCTATTTCTTATCGATAAGAAGTTAAGTGAGGGGCCATAACCTTTGCTAATAGGAATTACTTTGTTATGTTTCTGACAAGCATGTTGATCATCAGGGGTCTAAATGAACACTAGTGCTCCAAGTCTTGTTACAACATACGGAGGCTTTCGTATAATTCACCAACTAATTCCATTATTTTAATGACTGCTTTTAGCATCTCGGCTAGTGTCTGCCGCCCTGCTAAACCACAAAACCCTGACATCATCTTGAGCTGCTGTAATTGCACATCCCACATCATCACTTTGTCCTCTCAGCACTTCACCACCTCCAATTCTACAAGAGGGTTTTGCTCGGCACTTAGGCAGACGGCAAAACCCTGTTACCTGCATGAAGGCCACTAGATTAATGCAAGTTGTTGCTCTTGAATCAGAACCCATTTATTAGCTGTGCTGATTAAAAGGAATGTGCTAATTGCTGAGTGTTACTTTTGGCAAATACTGTACATGAGTTACAATTTGGCAAAAATCCGCTCCAGCGCAGGATTGATTTTGAAGCCGCTTTTCTGTGCGTTTCTTTCGAGAACATGCGGAAAGCCGATCCAGTTAAGTTGAGAATGGCTTTGCTAGATTCTGGGTGCTCCGTAATTCTGGTTGAACAACAACAACAGTGATTTCCATTTATTTAGCACCCTTCACGTGGGGTAGCATCTCGGAGCACGTAACAGTGGCGGAGTCAAAACCTTAGACCCGAAGGGATTTCCCCCTTCGATAATCTCGAAGGTCTCGATCAGAAAAACCTTTGCAGATCTAGTTTAGAATGAAACACTAGCCTCGAGGTTGTGCGTCTCTCTCCCGATACAAGCTTCTGCTCGTAACTGCTTCCCTGCCTTGTCCGACCAACAGGTGACACTCCTGCTGTACGACTCTGCCAAAATGCGGCACCTTCTCTCCAAGTCCGTCATGATCGGGGACGACGATGACGACGAATATCCGTGGAGGCAAAACCTGCACCGATATTACATCCACGTGACCCTCAGTCTCTTCCTCTTCGTCTGGTTCATCCTGGGAAATTACTGGGTGTTCTCGGCCTACCTGCCCAATTTCATCCCGCCTTTCCACCAGCCCCAGGATTACTGCGACAAAACCGTGTACGTTTTCTCAGTGACCGTCCTCGTCATCAGTCACACAGCCCTGGGCCTGTCGATATTGTGCAGCTGCTGTTTGTTCTCGTGTTCCAAGCAGGGCGAGGATTCAGAGGAGGACTAAACCATGAGGCGGAACCTTCGCCAAAGTCAAATTTGATACAAAATAAAATTCCTGTTAAAAGTACATCTTTTTACAAGTCCGAGCCGCTGTTGCCTGTTGTGCACAAGTCTAAGCTACCGTTTTGTCTTGTGCTCTGTTCTGTAAAGCTGGACTTTACTCTATACATTTGCACCTAAGTTACAAAACAGGACTGCAAATGTTTTAAGCATGCTGTGTGCGAACAAGTGTTTCTGTGCATTTATCTTTCGTGTTTGTTTGAAATTTCTCCTTATTGGCACTTGCATGTGTTTTAGGTTCTGCTTCAACAGTAGAGCAAGTAACTAATCGGAAACGGAATGAGTGTTGGCTTTGGTCTCTGTACAGAGCTGTCTGATCTCAGGATGATCTTCTGGTGACTCAAAACTAGGAGAAAACCCTCTAACAACAAACCCCACAATAGCTCACTGACACTCTCTCCCCCAAAAGACTGTGGATGCTGGATCCATTTAAATTTTCAAGACTGAAGTAGATAGATTTTTGTTAGATAAAGGTATCAAGGGATAAGGAGCAAAGGCGGGTAATTGGAGTTGAGGTACAGATCAGCCATGATCTAATAGAATGGTGGAACAGGCTTGAGGGGCTGAATGGCCTACTCCTATTCCTAAGTTCTTATGACAGCTAGACAAGCAAGGGGATGTCTGAATAGTCAGACAAACAGCTGGGTTTAGGGCTTCAAATGCAATGGCAGTAGATTTGGGATTATTCACCTGATTTATGCTGGTGTTGCTTAGATCTGCAGCTTGCAGAACACTTTTTTATGGTAATATCTAGCTACGCAGTTTGCCGATGCGATGGTACAGTGCTTACATTGTCACGGTACTGAATACGTCTTGAACCACGTGCCTGTTTCTGAGGTTTGATGTTTACGAGCTGGAGTTGTGAGCTGGTGAATTGTAGAAAAATTGTAGAATTGTCGAAAGATGGCAAATTCCAAGAATAAAAGGCTGGCCATCAAAATCCTGCCCATGCACTTTTGTATCTTCGTAACAGTGAGTTGTCCAAGGGAAGGAGAAATGGCAAAAAAATAGGTAATCGTTTTTTGGCACAGAAACAGTGCACCTGGTCAATATACTTTGTTCTAAAAAAAGAAAGTACAATGGTGAAAATCTGCTCAATTTATCAGGCAAATGAACTTTAAACGCTATTTTTTGGTTGCATTGACGAGGACGCAGGTTTTAATGTTGCAAAGGGCAATTTCAGGACAGACACCAGGAAGTATTTTTTATCCGGTGGCTAATGAATGACTGGAACAGGTTACTAGGTAGGGTGGTGGAGAAATTGCACTTGTAAAACAGCTTGAAGCTGTAAGCGTAGGACAATAGGATGATCAAATTGGCCAAAGGGCAGTCTTTGAGAAGATACAGAGGAGGGCAACCAAAATGATTGTGGGTATGGAGGGACTGGACTATGAGGAATGATTAGGTAAACTGGACATGTTCACGCTGGAGAAGAGAAGATTGAGGGGCAAAATGATTGCGGTCTTTAAGATTCTAAAGGGACTAGACAATGTAGACCATGGTAAGCTGTTATATCTTGTACTGACCAGGAGAACCAGAAGCCACGACCTGCGATTAAAGGGCGGGAAATTCAAAACAAATCTGTGGAAACACTACTTCAGCGAGCGAATGGTATAGTATGGGACAGACTCCCTTGGGAGACGGAGGAAGCAGAAAGTGTTGATTCTTTCCAGAACAAATTAAATAGATTTCTGTTAGGAAATAATATCTCGGGATACAGTATGTAGTTTGGGACATTACATGTGCATGCGACTGCCAGAATGATGGAAGGCGAGCTGGATGGATGATCCTTGATCTTCATTCATCTGGCAACAATTATGTTCTTTATACAAACCAGTCTTGTGATCTCTTGAGTAACAGTGAGATCATCCATTCATTTAAACTGGATTTTAAAGCCAAACTTAACCATCACTTCCTCTGGATGATACAGTCTTGCCTCAAGGTGTTTCCAGTTTGGCTTATGCAGTGTCAGAACTAAATTAAAAATCTGCTTCTTTTTACTAAAGGTGCACTTTATGAATGTTGATTTTATTTTAAATATAAAAAAAGTCTTTGAATAATTCTTGAGTGTCGATGTTCTAAACCGTGTGCTTTAGTTGTCTTTGAATTTCAACAGCCTTGAAGTGCAAATCAGTTTTCAACAATATTAGTGTCTCTTAATGTGAATTTAATAGTTATTTGAATGAATGTTTGGACTTCACAGAGTGTGTTTATTGTAAAGCATATGACAGTTAAGAACATTAAATCCTTTTTACTATATGCTACATAACGTAAGAGTGGGAATTATAAATAAAATGTGTTGACTGTTTTTGATAGTTGTGTGTATGTATACACATACTGTATGCATGTCTTAATGTATTTAGCATGACATATTGTCAAATTAGAGTCAAATTGCATGTTCCAAATCCCGAGAAGGCAAGTAAGGGTGAATAATAAATAATCCTTGAGTTTGACACTTACTTACAGTATTCTGAGGCTTTAGTGTCATGAATTAAAGCTCTGATGATTAAAGGCTGATTTCAAATTCAAAGTGTTTACGTAAATGTGGCTTTATTTTTGACTGGGAGACACGAGCCTGTGTAGGGTATGTCCCTGTTATTGCCTCCACTTTTTGGAACTTTATCATGGAGTCCCTCTGACTCACTCACTCCCTCCCTTCCCCATTGAAGATCCACCTCTAGGTCTTTGAAAATAATAATCCTTGCATTTGATTGAACGCCTTCGCATGTGGTCGAGACATCTCAAGGGACTTCAAAGGATATACTGTAAAGTGGATTGTATGTTTTTGTGGGTGAAATAAGGCTGCAAGTTTGCGCACAGCGACATCCCAAAAACCCACAAACAGCCGAGGAGTGAGTGACCAATTTTATTTGGGGAATTGTTGATCAGACCCTTCTCTTTTTGAATAGTGCCATGGGATCTTTAACATCCACCTGAAAGGCAGACGAGATCTCAGTTTAACGTCTCATCCGAAGAACGACACCTCCAACAATGCAACACGTCCCCAGCACTGCATTGGAGTGTCATCTTAGACTAAGTGACACAAGTCTCGACATGGGGCTTAAACCCACAACCTCAGTCAGAGAGTGCTACCACTGAATTATTTTTCCCCTCCCCACCCTCTTCAGCTTCCAGTCCCAGTTCTGGCACCCAGCCAACTGGGTCAAGAGGTTTGAGGTATCCTCCCAACATGAAAGGTGCTGTATAAATAAATCTAAACTGTATTGTACTTTATATACACACACACCACACACACACATACATACATATAGATAAATACATAAATATTGAATCATTGCATTTGTTATAGTGCCTTATCATGGCACTATTCGAAAAGAGAGTGGAGTTTCTCCCTGGGTCCTAGTCACCAACCCCAAATAAAATAATTGGTCATTCTGAATTAATTCCTTAAAAAATGTATTAAATAAGTATTAATATTTGCTGTGCGCAAATTGTCTACCGCATTCACCACAAAACACATAGTCACTGCACTTTACAATATATTTGAAGCAATTTGGGACAAGCTCCCAATGTAAAAGGTTCTATACCAAATGTAAACATTTTTTATTATTATTACATTGGTGGGATGTCTTGAAATGATTCACAGATTACTGTGAGGTGAAGTAACTGTATTTGTTTTGGGATGTCCTCCTGACAGGAAAGACGCTACACTAATGTAATTTTGTTGTTGTAGGTGAATGATGCAGCCAATTTGTGCTCAGTAATGTGATCTGGAAGACTGTTGGCCAGGACCCCACTGTGAGAACCTCCCTTCTCTTTTTTTCGAATAGTGCACAGGGATCTTGAATATCCACCTGAAAAGGACCTCGGTTTAACATCTCAATCAAAGGGCTGAACCTCCAACAATGCAGTGCTCTCTCCGCAATGCATTGGAGCGTCATCTTCGACTATGAGTTCAAAGTCCTTAAAAAAGTTTGTGACCAAACGTGTACTGTATTTCCCTTTAGAATGGATCTGTTAAGTCTTCCTTGCATAAGTATACAAGAACATGCAGATACCATTGTGTCAGAAACAGTGTATACTGAAATAGACTGGACATGCCAGACAACTATGATGGCCATAGATCACTGATAAATAATAATAATCCTTGCATTTGATATAGCGCTTTTTACGTCGGGAGGACGTCCCAAAGCGCTTCACAGAACACACTGGAAAATGAATTGACTGTATGTTTGTGGGCGAACGCGGCAGCCAATTGCGCACAGCAATGTCCCACAAACAGTCGTAGATTGAAAATGACCAATTTATTATTGTTTTTGGTTTTTGGAGGGATTATTATTAGGCTCTGTGTGGAGTAAGGAAACTTGCCCAAGGTTTCGCCCTCTGCCTGGAATTGAACTCAGGTCTCTCACTTGCAAAGCGAGTGCTCTAACCACTGAGCTACAGGACTCCAAATGATGTAGGCTGATGTGTTGCTTCTGTGGATTAAGCATCCAGAAGGTCAGTCCACTACTTTGCTTGGAGTTTATGTGCTTATCTACTGTTTGGAAGAAGCCATCTGGTATAATAATAATAATCCTTCTATTTGATGTAGCATCTTATCATCTCAAAGTGTCTCAAAATGCTTCACACTACATTTTGTAGGCAAACACGGCAGCCAAATTGCACACAGCAATGGCCCACAAACAGTCACAAAATTATTTCTTATGATAGCAAAATGTGTCTAGAAAGCTGAATTCATAATTGGTGATTCAATGAATAAATACCAGGGATCATAAGTTACAACTACACTTCCTAGTTGTAAAAGAAACACAATGCATTTCATTGTCCTGAATGTAAAGGACATTTGTTAGCACTCTGAAATTATTGCCTGAAGCAAGTTTGTGGGTAATGGTTATTTTTACTAAAAGGTCAATGGCAATGTTGCGGAACTGATTCAAAAGAGCAGTGATGGAATTTTTGACTGTGGTTCCTACACACTGTTGCCCAGCATGTGACTTTTTAATCTGCAAACCTTTGATGAACGAGTTACACTCAAATGTGATTCTCATGACCAAACTACAGCTATGCTCTCTGTGCTTCTGGCACAGTTCGAGGTAGGAACCAATCAGGAAACATGCTAATAGAATGAATCCAGCGAATGTAAAACTGCATTAACTGCAGGAAGTGATATCTAGTAAATCAGATACTTTTGAGAATAAGGCATATGTTTAAACAGTAAGTTTGGACAAGTTTATTTTAGAAAAGTAGATGTATTTTTTATTATTATTTACTATATTAATAAGCCTATAGTAATGATAATCTGCATTGGATATAGTACCTTATCATGTCAGGAGGACATCTTAAAGCTCTTCACAGGATTTACTATGAAGTGTAGTCCCTGTGTGTTTTGTGCGTGAAAGTGGCAGCCAATTTTCTCACAGCAATGCCCCACAAACAACCAAGAAGTGAATGATCGATTTTATTTGGGGGATTGTTGGCCAGTCCACTGGAAGAAACTCCCTTGTTTTTTTGATCAGTGTCAGTGAGACCACGGTTTAATTGTTTATCCAAGGAACGCACCTCCAACAATATAGTGCTCCCCAAGTACTGTAATGGTGTGTCAGTCTAGGCTGTGAGTTCAAGCCTCCTTTTATAGTTTCTGGAACTTTTTTCAGAATATTACCGTAATGAATTAGTTTAATAAATGTGACCAGGCAGGGCACTGCCAGTACGTGTTAAACTTTAGCTTGGTATTTGTAAGATGCTGTACCGGATACTTTCAGACCTAAATGCAAAATACTGCAGATGCTGGAAATCTGAAACAAAAACAGAAGTCGCTGGGAACATCAGCAGGTCAGGCAGCATCTATGGAGAAAGGAAAGTGAGTCAATATTTTGAGTCCACGACCCTTCGTCAGAACTGGGGCATGTTGGGAGGGAGAGGTTTTTAAGGGCTAACAGAGGGGGGAAGCTAGGGCAAGGAAGGCAAAGGAGAAAATGGGGTAGAGGACAGGGGATGATGGGTTAAAGTGGTGTTAATAATGCAAAACAAAGACAAAACAAAACAAAATTGCAACAAAATATGCAGACCAGAGAGAGAAAAGATGTATCTGGGACCCAGATGATGTGGCAATGGTCACAGAAGAGGGGGAGGGGGAAGGTGAGCTGTTATGGTCTGAAATTGTTGAAATCAATATTGAGGCCAGAGGGCTGTAAGGTCCCCAGTGAATAAATGAAGTGCTGTTCCTTGAGCTTGTGCTGAGGCTCATTGGAGCAGTGTAGGAGACCGTGGATGGAGAGGTCAGAGTGAGAGGGAGAGCTGAAATTTCAAGAAACCGGAAGCTCAGGGTTGTGCTTGCAGACAGAACGGAGGCATTCGGCAAATCGATTACCCAATCACCCACTTACAGACCTACATTGTTATTTTCAATGAAACACCCACGCTATTTGATGACATTTGTAGCCCAGACACATTCGAATAATTTTAAAAATCATGTTTTAGGGAATCAATTCCTTAAAAAAAGTATTAAATATCTACTGCTATCCCTAGCCACAAAGTACACATGTAGAACTGAGAACTTTCTAAAAGAGTTCAATTGTTCCTTTTTCTCCCTATCATTCCCATTACACCATTGCAAGTTATTCAAAATTGCTCTTTAATGGAGAGAATTTTAAAGTGTCCAAAATTTGGCAAATTGTTGACAATTCAAATAAAATTAAAATTCAATTGGCAAATTAAAGGCTTATCAACTTTGAAGAAGCTTTTCTCTAATTCTTAAAAAAAACATCAGACTGAGATTTAAGGCTGCCTTTTTAGAATTTGTCAAATTCTGGATGCTCTGAAGTGCTACAAAATAAGAATAATCTAGACCTGGGTGGAATTTCCACCACCACGACAACAACTTGCATTTATATAGCGCCATCCACGCGGGATGTTGACTCACTTTCCGTTCTCAGCAAACGACTTCTCCTCCAGCCCCTGCACCGTCTCGTGCAGCGTTCCTCAGGGCTCTGTCCTCGGTCCCCCTCCTCTTCACCCTCTACATGCTCCCCCTTGGCGACATTATTCGCAGACATGGGGTACATTTCCACATTTATGTGGATGACGCCCATCTCTACCTCTCTGCCTGCACACTAAACTCCAGGACTACTGCCATCCTGACCGACTGCCTGTCCTGGACTGCCTGGATGAGGGACAACTTTCTCCAACTGAACATCAGCAAGACCAAGGCCCTCCTGATTGGCTCGCGCCAGCGCCTCCGTACCTCAGGCGCTGGCAGCATCAGCCTCCACGGCTGCACACTCAACCTCACTAAGTCAGTCAGGAACCCGGGTGTCTTGTTTGACCTGAACTGTCCTTTCTCCCTCACATCTGCACTGCCTACCACCACCTCCGCAACATTGCCAGACTCCACCACTGCCTCACCCCTCAGGCTGCCGAAACCCTCACCCACGCATTCGTCACATCAAGGCTCGATTATGGAAACTCCCTCCTCATTGGTCTTCCCAACTCTTCCCTTCAAAAGCTGCAGATCATCCAAAGCTCTGCAGCTCGTGTACTCTCGCGCACCAGGCTCCGCGACCCCATCACTCCCACCCTCGCCCGACTCCACTGGCTCCCCATCCCTCAGATCAAATTCAAGATCCTCGTCCTCACTTTCAAGGCCATCCATGGCCTTGCCCCCTCCTACCTCTCTGACCTGCTGACCCCCTACCAACCTGCCCGCTCCCTCCGTTCAGCGGGCTCCGCCTTCCCACCTCTTTGCCTTCCCTCAGCCCTACCCCAGCCCTCCCCCTTGCTCGGGTCCCGACCCCTGACTGTCCATCGCCTTGGGATGTCCTCCTGATGTGAAAGGCGCTCTATAAATGTAACTTTGTTGTTGTTGTTGTTTCTCCATAGATACTGCCTGACCTCCTGAGTGTTCCCAGAGACTTCTGTTTTTGTTTACAGAGGCAGACCAGTTGCACAGAGCAATGTCAAAATGAACGGCAGTTTTATTTGGTGAGGTTGGTGGCCAGAACACTGGGAGAAACTATTCTATGCGATCATGTCTTGGGAGTGCTGAACCCCTCCCTTCCCTTCTTAATCATTTCATTTTAACAGGAGGATGGGTGGATTAATATTTACACATGTTGCAATGCAATGCAAATAACTAGGAGATTAAATTAATAAGGTACTTGTTGAGGTGAAGAATGAACTTAAAGACAGAAGGCAGACAAGCTCTCCTGGCTTTGGGGAGGGGTGTAATAAAAATATAATAAATAATTATTATTATAAAAGTATAATAAATAACTATATATTCTTATATATAACATGTAATAATTATATGCATTACAATCATCAAAATATAAATCATTATTTATTCTTATAATACATAATTTTTATAATATTTTATAATATTTTATATATAATACAATCATAAAATTATAATAAATAATTATTTATTCTTATACAATAAAATAATTATATATAATATATTAGAAACGTGAAATTATGATAAAAAATAAATTGATTCATTGATTTAGAGTATTTTTGTATAAAACTACATTTCCCCCCTGTTTTCCGTGTTAAAGCAGTGATTGTAAAGAGGCTGACAATGTGGTTGGTTGGTTAGTTAGTTGCTGGCTGGCTGCCCTGGTATAAGGGAATGTGCGGCCGCTGGCTACGCAGTCAGTTATAGGATTAAGTCCAAAAAAAAGCACATGATTTTCATCCCATGATTAAGCACTGAGCCAAGCCGCCTGCGATCTCTCTTTCCTCTCTCATGTAGCCTCCATCCACCATGGCTTCCCCTCGCCTGGAGACCTTCTGCTGCCCCAACAGGGACTTGGCCACAGAGTTGGTGTTGGACTTCCAGCCTGTCCTGTTCAGCGCCCTGTGTCTGGGCAGCGCTGGTCTGAGCCTGAGCCTGACCCTGCTCCAGGTCCTTCCCAAGAGGAGCCAGGGCTACCGCAGGCTCAGCCAATATCCACTGCAGAAACCTCTCGCCTCCTCCAGCATCCTGCTCATCATTAGCCTCTGTGACATTCTGGGCTGCATTGGTAAGCCAAGTTGCTTTACAACAAATATTTATATTTATCTCTAGATAGATTAGACGTGTATAATATTTATGTATATATTTGTGCATAATACAAAAGTACAGCTAGAATGGAATATATGAATATATTTTGCCCACAAAATATACAGTCACTTTACAGTTTATTCTGTGAAGCGCTTTAAGAGGTCTCTTAAAGAGTAAGTGCACATGTGGTGACAACAACTTGCATTTATACAGCGCCCCTCATACAGGGCGTGTAACATTACAATTTCTGGTGATGCAATGCATCTTGACCTGTCTCCACATGTGCACTTACCGGCAAATGTTGGAATCGCAATGAATCGCAGGAATTTAAGTTCTTCTGCATGTGTGTGTCGACGGATGAAGACTATGTCTTGTGGGATTCAAAGCTTCCAGTAAGCGTGGGAGTAATGGAGGGTAAGGGAGCAGTGTTATGAGTTAGGAGGTGATTAATATGAGTTGTGTGAAGAAATCTAAGTGTTCTTTTTGATAGGAAACTGAATGGGAGTCGAGTGATTGTACGAGTTAGGCATTTATACAATTCATAAAGATGATACTTCTGTGAGTTTCACTGTAAAATCCTTGCCTTTGATGTAGTGCCTTCGTCGAGATACCTCAAAGCGCTTCACAGGATATATTGTAAAGTGGATTGACTGTATATTTTGGGGGCGAAAGACGGCAGCCAATTGTGCACAGCAGCGTCCCAATATTTGATTGAGGTTGTTCAGTGGAATCCAACAATTCCTTACAGTGCAGTGTAAATTGCCACTTGCAGAGCAGGACAGTAGTGGATGAAGCCTTCAAGACATTGACATGCTTAACATATCTATGTCACATGTTTGGGAATATCTTTCATCTTCTCTTCCAGTTTATTCCTGTTGTCTCCCTGAAAAATTTGCATGATTTCATAACGCGTCACTTGTGCTAATTAACATCTGTCTGGTAATCGTGGCTGATTTCAAACTCTGATAATTAATGTTACAGTTCATCCCCCCACACCCACAACCAGCCACCTTCCTTCAGATCACCATCAGGATGGACACCATAGGTGATCTTTCCATGGCCAGACCGAGTCCTATCTGGTGTCTTAGAGTCAGAATTTGAGTCCAGCGGCAGAGGAAATGAACTTTAATTCAGTAGTTTTCTTCCTCACTCAAACATCACACATTTCATCTTCTTTGACAATTAAAGCCACAGTCTCCCACACAGAAGCCCATCCATACACATGCCCACCCACACCCACACACGCGCCCCAACACACACCCACAGGTCCACACACGCACCCACAAGCGCACACACACACACATGCCATGGCCGATACTACACCACAACAGTGTCCTACCTTGGTGTATGCAATTGGTTTCCGCGTTTCGCCCACAAAATATCCAGTCAATTCACTTTACAGTATATCCTGTGAAGCGCTTTGAGACGTCTCAACAATGTGATAAGGCGCGATATAAAATGTAAGGATTATTATTACTAGGCATTATGTAATGTTATAGCCTGGGGATTCTATCAGACTGTACCGATGTGCTGAGGCAGAGAAGAGGATGAAATTAGTGACCTGGAAAAACCTCCCAGATTTTTGGTTGGGAGGGGACGGTGGTCAGCCGGGTGTCACATGTGGAAACCCATCACCATGCTCAAAAGTATCTAGCCACACTGAGATTTCCATGCATCCAACCTCCACATGGAAACTCCAGGGATAGATTCTCCTAGAAAAAAATGATTGTTTGCTTTCTTGGCTGTTTGTAGGACATTGCTGTGTCAAAATTGGCTGCAAAATAGCGCTCTGAGATAGCCTGCTGATGCAAAAGGTGATATATCAAATGCAAGGAGCATTTTTTAATATTTTATCTCAAGCAAGCGGGTGTGGATTATTGAATTTTGATTTGCTATCGCAAAAATTGTCTGCAATTACATAGTCACCGAACTTTGCAGTAAATCCCATGAAGTATTTTGAGACATTTTGACGATGTGATAAAGCATTTTCTCTCTCTCTCTCATTTGACCTAAGTTTATCAAAGCATTGATGTTTATGCAGTACCCGTTTGCTGAGATTGGCAAGACATCTTGCATAAGAGGAGAAAAGCCACACAAATTGTGAGGTGAATGATTGTAATTGCTTACTGATTTGGTTATAAAATTATATTTAATCATAACATTACATATTAAAAAAAATGACATGTTCGACTATTTGTAAAGGATGGTAATTTTGTACAGGGCATAGAAAGAAAACTCTTTATGATTAACTTCATGTTTTCTGTACCTTTCCTGCCCTCCAGAGATAGCATTAAGTTGTACAACTGGGTCTTACATTAGGGGACATGACAATTCCCAAGAAGAAAGAACAATTGTCATTGAAAACAACCCTACATTTTCCCCCCCACCCCACACACATAGTGAGAGAGCCCACTACTGTGGAAGCAATAATGTTTTTTTTATTAATTGGCAAAATAGGAAAGAACTTATGTTTATCTTGTGCTATGAATCCTGTCCAGTTTTTGATCAGATCTTCTTGAGTTGAATACAGCAGTTGTTTCTGCCCCTTGTGTCCTGGCCAACAAACCCGCAGATAAAATTAATCAGTTACCTTGTGAATGTTTGTGGGAATGATCGTGAACAAATTAGCAACAGCGAATGCCTACACTCACAACGATTCCCTGTGAAGCACTTTGAGACGTTTCAATCTTGTCCCGTCTGCCTTTCCAGGTAGATGTTAAAGATCCCATGGAACTATTTAAAAAGCGAAGGGGTATTCCCCTGGTGTCCTGGCCAACAAACCTCCCAAATAAAATTGATCAGTCACTCCATGGTATGTGGGAGATTTCTGTGCAGAACTTGACTGCTTCATTACTCCAACAAAATGCACAGACAAACTACCTTACAGGATATCCTGTGAAGCACTTTGACACAAAGTGATATGCTGCTATATCAAACGCAAGGATTATTATTAATATTGCTAATAGTGGAGCTGGGGAGACTGGTGAAGAATGATTTGGAAAGGCAAGGATCATTACTATTATTTTATGAGAATACTATTTTATGCTTTCTTATGAGTCATGGTAGCAATGACAAATCAAACCACAATTATGGACAAATTCACCAGGATAAAAGGGTAACCTATAATTTTTTTAGCTGAGAAATGGCCATAATAGGTCTTTGACAAGTAAAATGTTAGCTTCAAACACCCACAAATTCCCATTTACCTGCAAGGAATTGCATTTCCTCTAATGTGTTTTTATTATGGATTTTTTTTGCCATTTTCTCCTTTCAGATGAATGAGCTTCATTACCACCTTGAAATGTACTAATACAACCGTTGCTGCTGCATTTTCTCCCTTACAAACTACAGAGGAAGAAAGTACACCTAGGTTTACTCGATTGATGTAGCATTCCAGAATCTGGCAAATTGTTGAATCCAGTCCGCTTTGAGACATTTTTAAAACCCCTCCATTACCTTTCCCCTCATGTATATATATTTTATAGCACCCGATGATGTCAAACTGTCTCCAAACACTTGACATTAATTGCTGTCAAGCATAGTGATTATTTGTGGGCAAATGCGGAAAGCATTTCACGAAGAGCCGTGAAGCGACTGAGCAAGTACCTCAGAGGGTGTTTGGTCAGGACACTGCAAGATTTTCAGGAGAGGCCGGGAGTAAACAGTGTGTACAAAGAGTTAATGTGTAAGCTGACAAAAAGGACCAGGAGAGGTGGGGTATGCACTGAGCTGTAAATCAATCCCTCTACCTCCCCCCCACCCCCAACCATCTATACACACGCAGACACTGAAGTGTAGAACATTTCCTCTATAATCTCAGTGAGGTTACTCTTTAACAAGGGATTAGGGAAACATGACAGGACATTGCTTGTGTTTAACCTCTCACCAGTGCACGCCTCACCTCTTTTGTCTGTTTGTCTGTGTGTGTGTATGTGTGTGTGTAGCTACAGTAATTACGATGTACACAGCTTTCTCTTACCATTTGTCTATTTCTTTAAGGAATAATAACCAGATCATCAGTATGGCTTGGTTTCCCAGACTTTGCTGCTAAAATATCTATTGTAAATGGAACTGAAGTGTGGCCAACTGCCTTCTGTGTTGCCAGTGCAGTAAGTGGAGCACATTCTGCATCATTTATATTGTATCGCAGAGTTTTGTAGCGCATTGGAGCAATCACTCCGCAAGCGAGAAGACCTGGGTTTGATCCCCAGGCTTGGCAAAACCTTAGGCAAGTTTCCTTACTCCACAGGCCTCTGTTTATCTAGTAGTAAGTAGGAACCTGGTTGTTAGTCGATTGGTGGATCGCTCTTTGGGGGTAATAATACCCCCTCCCCCCAAAGAATTACCCTTTCCCCCCACACCCTCCCAAAAAAATTTGTTCACTCAATCCATGGCTGTTTGTGGGACAATGCTATGCACATATTGTAATTATTTGCTTTTAGAATAACAATAATCCTTGCATTTGATATAGCGTCTTATCACGTCATAGAATATACTGTAAAGTGGTTTGACTGTGTGTTTTGTGGGTAAAATGTGGCAACCAGTTTGCACACACAATGTCCCACAAACAGCCGTGAAGTGAATAGCCAATTTTATCTGGGGGATTGTTGGCCAGGACACTGGAAGAAACTCTCCTCTCTTTTTGAATAGTACCATGGAATCTTTAATGTCCACCTGAAATATCATTATTTTACGCTCAATGAACTTTAACACTTTGAACTTTAAGAGGAAGCAACATTGCTTCCTATACTACTTATACTTTTTCATTCAAAACATATAAAGTAGCACTTTATAGTAACAATAATGGAAACTGGCCTGGCTTGGTTGACGGCTCTCTCTTTTTGAATCAGATGATTGTGGGTTCAATACCCCAGGTTGGGATTTCGAGCTCACAGTCGAGGCTGACACTCCAGCTGAGGGAGGCTTACATGGTCAGAAGCACCATTGGACCGAGGCATATTTCGAACAGAGAAGAGAGTTTTCCTGTTGTAGTAGCTCACCATTTGTCCAGATGAAAGTGGTCATTCACTTCTTGGCCCTGATATCACCAACAAATACACGATCACCATATTTTGTACTGAATTATGTGAAACTCTAACAGATGTTTCAATGTGAGAGATCATAGAACCTTACAGCCCATTCAGCCCATCTTACCTGTGCCAGCTCTTTGAAAGAGCTGTCCAATTAGGCCCACTCCCCCGTTCTCTCCACATAGCCATTAGATTTTTTTTCTTATCAAGTAAATAGCCAATTCCCTTTCGAAAGTTATTACTGATGCAAACATTATTATTATTATTATTATTATTATTTATTGTGTGGAAACAGATCTATGTATCCCTTCCCCTACAGATGTGGATTCAACTGTTCTACAGTGCCACTTACTGGTGGCTATTCTGCTATGCTGTAGATGCCTACCTTGTTGTAAAGAGATCATCTGGACTAAGGTAACCTTTCCTAGTGGGGAATAATTTAAAGGACTATCATGGTATCAATCACTTTATATTCCAAGTGACCTTGGCACTCACCGTTGGCTTACCTGTAGTGTTCGTTTGACATAGATTTTAAGCAGAGATGCTAACACTTTATCTCCAGGAAACGTTTAAATTTATGTGCAGTCAATTCAATTATTTCTTCTGCAGAGTTCAGCAATGCATGAATTTATTCATATTGGATATGTTAAAGAGGAATTTAAGTGTGTCAGCCTGGCTCAGTTGATAGACTCTCACCTCTGAGTCAGAAATTGTGGGTTCAAGGGTTTCAGCAGCGTTAGGTGTGAGGTATGGTCATAGGTGGGCAATGTAACAGAGGTGGAGAAAAGTTGTCCTGGTCAGGGACCGAATTGGGAGAGGAAGGACACTTTGGGATTCAACCTGACACCTAGGTTGCACACAAATTTGGGGAGTTTGAGGGATAGACCTGAGAGATCAAGGAGATCAGAGCCACAGATGAGAAGACATTGATGAGAGCCAAGGAGGATGACTTCCATCTTGTCCATGCTCAGCTGCAGAAATTTGGCACTCATCCAGGCCTTTACATCAGTGGATTTGGGGACTAGAGGAAAATAAAACGGATTAAGGAATCTCTTAATTCAGTCTGGATTTTACATGATTGCTCTATTCCAACACCCCGAGATGCTATTCTGTGTGAAGGGTGCTGTATAAGGGTAACTTGTTGTATTGTGTATCTTTTATAACAGCGGCTATAATGTATGCAATAAAAATATTCCTTTTGATGTACTGTTAAATGTCTGGCACTCATTTGGGAATAACTGCCTGATGCTCACAATCATTAACTGTGCGTGAAAAGTTACAATTTAAGCGCTCTGAGAATCTGGGTTATCATTAACACGATAATGTTATTCCTCATATATTACACTGTCATTTCGGGAACGTTGTAAATTCACAGGAAAGCTCAGAGGAGAAAGATCCTAGACAGTGCCACATAACATCGGGCTAATGAACAAGTGCTCAGTCTCCAGAGACACAAGGATACATTGCACCATTAAGCCCATACTCGGTGTTGCTTTACCTAATTCATTTTTAATGTGTGGCAAAAAGTGAGAACATTTTCCTCGTGAGCTCAGGTCAGCCCACATGGACTTCAATCCCATCCCACAAGCTTTCAGGCCTGGTCCTCTATTTATATGGGCCGTTCTGCATTCTGTTTCCTGAAGCATTAGGAATTTCACATAAATCTCTTTCCGGGGGTAATAATAATAATCCTTGCATTTGATATAGCGCTTTTCACGTTGGGAGGACGTCCCAAAGCGCTTCACAGAACACACTGTAAAGTGAATTGACTGTATATTTGTGGGTGAACGCGGCAGCCAATTGCGCACAGCAATGTCCCACAAACAGTCGTAGTTTGAAAATGACCAATTTACTATTGTTTTTTGGTTTTGGAGGGATTATTATTAGGCTCTGTGTGGAGTAAGGAAACTTGCCCAAGGTTTCGCCCTCTGCCTGGAATTGAACTCAGGTCTCTCGCTTGCAAAGCGAGTGCTCTAACCACTGAGCTACAGGACTAGTTGGCATTGGTATCCATTACTCAATCCTGTATTACTGTTACACTGTGTGGATTCTGATTTTAATAAAGATTCACAGCATTGATAATGGGTGAAGAAGGAACTCAGCCCATTTGATCTCATCCTTCCTAGAAGATCCACCCTGCTATCTTCTCACCAAGTTTTGGAGATCTAATTATTGTGTGCACTTTACATCTGTAATTCCACCTAATTTTAACGTGTACGACCACTTTGTCTCAAAATTTAATGTGACCCAGAATTGTGAAAAAATCTTGAATTATGGTCTTAATTTGGATGCTGATTTTGTACAATTCTTAATTCAACAAAAATCAACATGCATTTACTTCACGTAGGATAACATCTCGTAGTGCTTCAATAAACCTTGGCTTCCAAATGAAGGCCTGATTTAAGAATATTCCACAAATCTGTGCCACCTTAAATTGTGCTTTGGGATGTCCTCCAGATGTGAAAGACACTGTACAAATATAATTTGTCATTGCAAGGAATAGATGGTCTCACAGGCTAAGGCTAGGCGAAATTTCAGGCTCTGGGTCTGTAAGTCCGAAAATAATGACACAAAGTGTTTTCGAAATGATGGCGTAACTTTTCACATTGGAATACCAAGAATCAGATGAGTTGCTGTTTTGAAAGCCATTCACTCTTTTTGTTTCAGTATAATAGTCTTGTACCACATGCTGACTTGGGGTCTGGCAATCCTGCTGTGTGTTGAAGGAATAGCCATGCTCTATTATCCGTCAATTTCCAGGTTGGTGATCTTATTGTTAAATGTGTTTAACTGTCCGTATTTAGCTGCAGAAATTTGGCACTCACCTCGGTCTTGATGTCCACATCGGTGGATTTGGGGGTCAGGCTAGAGGAGGTAAAGCAGCTACACACACGAGCAGTGAATATGGCTATCGCACTGAGTTACAGTGCATGTTGGGATTTCATAGAGTAACAAAAATTCTTATAATGAACCTCTGCTACTGCTGGGGTCTCCAACTGGTCCATCACCAGTAGGCGATGTCGCGCACAAACAAAACGACAAGAGGAAGCAGCTGTAGAACTGTGCCATTATTGAGTCAAATCGAAAACAAATCCAAATGCACAAAGTGTTTCATGTCCCTGTAAATAATAATAATAATAATCCTTGCATTTGATATAGCGCTTTTCACGTCTTCTAGATGTCCCAAAGCGCTTCACAGAATATACTGTAAAGTGAATTGACTGTGTATTTGTGGGCGAACGCGGCAGCCAATTGCGCGCAGCAATGTCCCACAAACAGTCATGGATTGAAAAATAAAAATATCAACTTTAACGTTTAAACTACAGTAAATATCGCTCCTGCCTCTTGTTTTTGTTGAGCATGAGCGAGATGCCACCTTGTGGCAATCGACTGATTGGAGATCCCTGATCTACTGTGCGCAAATTGGCCAACAAGTACCCATTCACCACACTTTACAGAAACATGTCTATGAGGCACTTTGAGACATCAAATGAAAGGATGAAGTAGAATGACCTAGAAAAACAGAAGATTATTACATAAAACAGGCCATTTGGCCCAGCTAATCCATGTTGATATTTTTACTCCACATGAACCCTTCACCCTCTCTATTCCCAGCTCTTTGATGTATGCATCAAGTTTCCCCTTAAATATGTTGATGCTTTCTGCTTCAATCGCAGCTTCCAGCAGTGAATTCCCATCACTCTGTGCCTTCCTCCCAAACTTCCTGTTCAACCTGCTACAGGCAACCTTTACTTTATGATTATCGTTATATGTTAGAAGCTCGGCACAAACTCAGATGTCAGCCTGGCTCAGTTAGCAGCACTGTCATCTCTGAGTCAGAGGATTGTAGGTTCAAGGCCCACGTTGAGACCTTGAACTCACAATCTAGACTGATACTCCAATATAGTGCTCGTGAGAGTACTGCATCGTTGGAGCTGCTTTTCTTTGATTGAGACATTACGTAGAGGTCCTGTTTGTCTATTCAGGTGGAAATTGAAAATCCCATGGCACAATTTGAAAAGAGAAGGGAGTTTCTCCCGGTTTACAGTTCACTGTACAGTATTTCTGAAGAGATTCTAATGGACTTCCACCTCACGCACCACCAATGACCCCATCACTCTCACCCTTGCCCGACTAAACTGGCTCCCCATCCCCCAGAGGATCGAGTTCAAGATCCTCGCCCTCACCTTTAAGGCCATCCATGGCTTTGCCCTCTCCTACCTCTCTGACCTGCTGACTCCCTACCAACCTGCCCGCTCCCTCCATTCATCAGGCTCCGGCCTGCTCCATGTCTCCCGCCCGACCCACCCTACCATCGGTGGCCGTGCTTTCAGCCTCTCTGCCCCCACACACTGGAACACTATCCCACGGTCTCTTCACCTCGCTTCCTCCCTTGCCTCCTTCAAGGCTGGTCTCAGGACCCTTCTCTTCGACCGTGTCTTTGGTCTCCCTCCCACCTCTCTGCCTTCCCTCACCCCTACACCACCCCTCCCCCATGCTTGGGCCCCGACACCTGACTGTTCAGCGCTTTGGGACGTCCTCCTGACATGAAAGGTGCTCCATAAGTGTAATTTTGCTGTTGTTGTTGAGTTGATAGAATTGTTTTTCTTCCAGCTGTGAAAAGGGGCTGGAGCACGCAGTTCCTCACTACATCACCACCTATGTGCCGCTGCTGCTTGTTTTAGTTGCTAACCCCATTCTCTTCGGGAAAACCGTGTCTGCAGGTATGGTTTGTGCAAGCGATACACACCATTAGCTTGATTCAACAAAAAAAAATTCTGTGTAAAGTACAAGCAAACTCTTAGCTTCTTCAACCTTGAGGTTTGATTTACGGTCAGAAAATTCTTCCGGGAACAGGACTGGCTAATCAGGACACGGTCACTGGGGGCTCAGACCCTGCACAGCGACTGAACTGGTCAATCGAGCTAAAATATTGCTCATGTGGCCTGTGCACATCTCTCATATCTGGCCTTTGGCCCTCAGCAGCCAAAAGGTTGGACCCACCCTCACGTACTGGATAGAGCTGTATCTTACACACCAGGAACTCGCCAGTTCAAATCCCTGGTCCATTTACTGCGTTTTCTGATCTCATCCAGTCTGGCGTGGGCTAAATTGACCCCGGCCTTCCCAGCATCAGGGAGCGGGGGGTGGAAGACAGCCAGGATTCTTCCTCCTGTTACCTGTACAGGACCTCCTGCTGGTTGTGAGCGTGTGAGGCAGCCGTTTGGGGAGAGCTCAGGCTTGGCTGTGACGCCCTCTACAATCTAGTTGGCCTGGTGATAGTCATGGGGGGAGGTACAATGTGGATAGGGGGCCAACCGACCGCTGTGGAACTGCACCCCAGAAAGAGGAGGAACAGAGAAACCACTAGGGAGAAAATCAGAAACTTTTCAACTGAACCATTTTGCCCCTTTGAAATATTTACCTAATTCCCTTTTGTGCCAGAATGTAGATGATATAAATAGAAATGTATGTATTTTTGACAGGTCGTTCAAGGGAAATGGTTTCTTTTTTTTTCAGTTGCTTCGCTGCTTAAAGGAAGACAAGGTATATACACGGAGAATGAGAGGCGTCTGGGGACTGGAATCAAATTGAGATTTTTCAAGATTATGCTTGTGTTTATTATTTGGTAAGACACAAAACGTAATAATAATAATAGTAATACTTGCTTTTAATATAGCGTATCTCAAAAAGCTTTGGCTCTGCCATATGGATGTACCCTTCCTTTCCCAAGAATACAGTATTTAGCTCTTCCAAGCAGTTAAAGTAAGCAGCCCCTTAATATAATTGCAGCTATAGCCCCTGAGCAGTTTGTGCCTTGGTTGATCTGGGTGCAGTTGACTGCACGAAATCGATCTTGCGTGCATTCTACAATTCTGTGCACAACCTTGTTAAACAGCTCATCGGAGTGTTAATTAGCAAACTTTCTGTGGTGGAAAAAATGTGTTCGGGGCACAGGGGAAATATTTGCTATGTGATGTGATTTTTAAAGAATCTGTTATATGTCTCACTTTTAACCTCTTTGGCAGCCCATTCAACAATAACATGCACTTATACATCACATTTCAGTTGCTTCACTGCTGAAAGGAAGACTAGGCATATACATTTGGCCTAGTTAAATGTCTCAGAAAGTGCTTTAGAGTGTTGGATTAGGAGCCCAGGCAGGGTGCGAGATGGAGTGGGGGAGGTGGGAGATGATCAAAGGCACAGTGGGAGATGCTCAAAGGCACAGTTAAAGAGGAATAGTTTTTAAAAAGAGGAGAGGGAGAGAGACAATGTGGAAGATTTAGGGAGAGACCTAAAGAGAGTAGGGACAAAGTGGCTGATGGCTCGCCCACCAGTGGTGGGGAGGAAGGGATAGAGGGCATGAAACAGGCCAGAGTTGGCAGCGCAGAGTGTCGGAGGGAGGTGGTTGGGGGGTGGGCGGAGGGAGTAGGATTGCAGGAGATCAGAAGGATGGTGGGGCAAGGACATGGTGGGGGTAATGAGCTGGCAGTGCCTGGTGCAGGAAAGGAACCGGCTGTAGAGGTTGTGCTGGGAACCCATCCTATTTCTTAATGGATTCCACATCCACAGTCTTCTGCGAGGCAGCACATTCTACATTCTCACAAGCCCCTCTGCATCAACAAATGTGGTCCGATTTCACTTTTAAGCATCTTAGCTCTAGCTTTACGATTATACCTCCTTGTAGTTGGGTAAATCCCTCCATTATTTTCTGATGACAGCTTAACAAGGGTCTCCTGACATTCTGTTGGCCACAGTGCCCGGGAGCAAAAGATAGGTCGCTCGTGCCACTATGGTTCAAGTCCTACTTAACCAACCGCCTCCATTTCATCTCAGCAAATGGTTTCTCCTCCTGTCCTCACCTGGTCACCTGTGGGGTACCCCAGGGCTCAATCCTTGGCCCTCTTCTTTTCCTTATCTATATGCTCCCTCTGGGCGATGTCATCCATAGACACGGGGTAAACTTCCACATGTATGCGGATGACACACAAATCGACTTTACCTCCTCCAGTACCAACTCCAGGGCCGCTGATTTTCTATCAGCTTGTCTGGCAGAGACATCAAAGCCCGGATGAGTGTAAACTTCCTGCAGCTGAATATGGACAAGATGGAAGCCATACTCCTGGCTCCCATCAATGTCTTCACTCCTGTGGATCTAAACTCCTCAACCTCCCTGGGCTCTCCTTCAGACTCACCAAACCAGGGTGCAACCTAAGGGGCCCGGTTCGACCCCCAGCTGTCTTTTCTTCCCCACATCGGGTCCGCCTTCTTCCACCTCTGCCACATTGCCTGCCTCTGACTGTACCTTACCCCAAATGCAACCAAAACTCTTGTGCATGCGCTTGTCACCTCCCACTTGGATTACTCCAACACAATCCTCGCTGGTCTCCCCAGATCCACCATTCACAAGATCCAGCTCATTCAAAACTCTGCTGCCCGCATACTGACCTGGACCAACCTCCTTACCCACATCTCACCAGTTCTGGCCAGACTTCACTGGCTCCCCATTACTGAACGGATCGACTTCAAGATCCTCACACTTGTGTTCAAATCCCTTCACTCCCTGGCACCTCCCTACCTCTCTGACCTCCTCACTCCCCAATCCACCACCCGGAGCCTCCGCTCGACTGGCACCGGCCCCCTACTCGTCCCTCGCAGCCTCCACCCCACCATCGGAGGTCGCGCTTTCAGCCACTACTCCCCAAAACTGTGGAACACCTTCCCTCAATCTCTCTGCCTTGCCCCCTCTCTCTCCTCTTTCAAGGCCCACCTGAAAACTTTAGTCTTCGACCGTGCTTATGGCACCTCTCCCCTGGCTTAGAGTCAGTCTCCGCCACTATTAAGCGCTCTGAGATGCTACCCTGCAGGGAGGGCTCTATATACGTATAAGTTGTTGTTGTTGCTATGAGATTTGAAACAGTAACATCATTGCTGTTTAGTTCATGTTTCTCACTGTGCTGAAGATGCGTGTACTCCTGATCAACTTCTGCTTATATCTATCCATCTGGAACGTACGTGAATATCTGTTTCTTTTCTGCAGCTGGATCCCAAATATCATCAATGAGAGTCTTTTATTCTACCTCGAGCTGCAGCCAGACATGAGCCAAGATCTTCGGAAGAATGTCAGAAATGCTGCCCTAATCACGTGGTTTATAATGGTATGTCTGGAGCACAGATATCCCTCTGTGGCCCTCTAACTAAAGCATTGTTTTGCATTCCTCTGGTCTGGCTGTATCTGGAGTACTGCGTCGCTGCTGCGTGGAAAGCGGACTGCCCTGACCCTAAAGGCAATGAAGAGGAAAGCAACGAGGTTGGATGCCCCGGGTTAGAGGAATGAGCAATGATTACACAGGCTACGGTTACTTCAGCCTTGAAATGAGACATAGAGTTATAGCATCTTGGAATAATATAATAATAATCCTTGCATTTGATACAGCGCCTTATCACATTTTCGAAACGTCTCAAAGCGCTTCACAGAATATACTGTAAAGTGAATTGACTGTATATTTTGTGGGTGAAACGTGGCAGCCAATTGTGCACAGCAGTGTCACACAGAAACAGTCGTGGATTGAGTGAACAATTTATTACTTTTTGCTTTAAGGAATTATTATCCCCGGAAAAGAGATCCACCAATCTTAGAGCACAGAAAGAGGCAATTCAATCCATCGTGCCTGTGCTGGCTCTTTGAAAGAGCTATCCAACTAGTCTCATTCCCCCACTCTTTTCCCCCATAGACCTGGAATTTTTAATTCTTTTAATTCTCTTTTAAAAGTTATTATTGAATCGGCTTTCACCACCCTTTCAGTCAGTGCATTCCAGATCGTAACAACTCGCTGCGTAAAAAAAATTCTCCCCTCTGGTTCTTTTGTCAGAGATCTCAGAGGAAATCTTATAGGAGGCATATAACTTTCTAAATGGGACTCTTAAAAGATTTCCTCTTCAACCTCTTCTAAATGGGTAAAAGAATATATTCAGGATTGCCATTGCAAATTTAAGGACAAGCACCAGGAAATATTTCTTTATATGGGGTGTAATTAACATGTTTACCAGGAAGAGTGGTTGAGGTGGAGGGATGCTGCACTCATTTTGGTTCAGTTGGTAGCACCTCTGAGTGAGAAAGCTGTGAAAATTATCAGAAGCTGGATGTTCTAAATCCTGTGGCACAATTCGAAATGAAAGGTATTTCTCCCTGTGTCCTGGCCACTTCCACCACTGCAGATAAAATATGGTTGTTTGTGAGACATTGCTGTATGCAATTTGGCTGCCACTTTCACCCCACAAAATACACAATCACCACACTTTACATTAAAACGTGAGGCACTTTGAGGGGCTTACTGTATCAAATTCAAGGATTACTATTATTTATAATAATAATCCTTGCATTTGATATAGCGCCTTATCACATCTTTGAGACATCTCAAAGCGCTTCGCGGAATATACTATAAAGTGAATTGACTGTATATTTTGTGGGTGAAATGCGGCAGCCAATTGCACACAGCAATTCAAAGTGACCAATTTCTTTTTGAAGAAATTATTACCCCTGGAAAAGCAATCTAGCCAATTGACTTAACAATCGGGTTCCTGCTTACTGCGAGGTAAACAGAAGCACATGGAGTAAGGAAACTGTAAGGTTGCTCCCCATATGGGAAACAAACCCAGGTCTCTCGCAAGCAAAGAAGTAAGTGCTCGATTCCTGGCAGGGCAAAACCTTGGGCAAGTTTCCTTACTCCACACGCCTGATAATAATTCCTCAAGGAAAAAAATAATAATTTGGTAACTCAATCCGCAACTGTTTGAGGGACACTGCTGTGCGCAATTGGCTGCCACATTTCGGCCATAAATATACAGTCAATTCACTTTACAGTATATTCTGTGAAGCGCTTTGAGACATCCAGAAGACGTGAAATGTCCTATATCAAACGCAAGGATTATTAAGGATTATTATTTTGTGAACTATTTTCTCCTGCAGTCATGCTTGCATCAGCCACCAGGTGCTGCCCTCCACCCACTGTTTGGTGCACTAACACAGAGGCAGATATTCACTCTGGACAGAAGGTGTAACCCAAGTACTGAGATGTCTATTCACCACTTACAATATTGTATACACAAAAGTCACTGTTTCAGTGCTCGACTCTAGAGATGAGAAAAATATATGGACCTTCAGTGTATGTAATCTACATTATTCTTTGCTCCCGGGAGCAAACGTGAGGTGCATTGCAGCTCAGTGGTTAGTGCACTCGCTTTGCAAGCGAGAGATCTGAGTTCAATTCCAGGCAGAGGGCGAAACCTTGGGCAAGTTTCCTTACTCCACACGCCCAATAAATAATCCCTCCAAAACCAAAAACAATAATAAATTGGTCATTTTCAATCCACGACTGTTTGTGGGACATTGCTGTACGCAATTGGCTTCCGCGTTCGCCCACAAATATACAGTCATTCACTTTACAGTGTGTTCTGTGAAGCGCTTTGGGACATCCTCCCGACGTGAAAAGCGCTATATCAAATGCAAGGATTATTATTATTATTTTTTCACTGCTTCTCTCCATGTATCTATCTGTGAAACCATAAGAATCGAGTCCATCAAGCCCCTTTGATCTCATCCTTCCAAAACATTAGCATCTTCCCATTGCAACAGCAGTTTCTTAAATGAGTCAATTTTGCCCAAAGGATTTTTATTGTTATCATTGTCTTGTGGTAGTGAATTTGTCATAAACATCTGTGCAATACACTATATAAAAAATCACAGTTGCCTGTGGGTGTGGGGAGGAAGAAAGTGGAACGAGCAGTATCTGAGATAAGGCATTTAAGGCCTTCAGGTGTTGAGGAGAGTTTAGCCTTCAAGAAGGAACTCGACAAATAGCTTAAAAAGAGTCAGCTACAGGGGTATAACTATAATCCTTGCATTAGATATAGTGCCTTATCACGCCACTGAGATGTCTTAAAGCGCTTCACAGAATAAATTGTAAAGTGTGTATTTTGTGGGCGAAACCCGGCAGCCAAGTACGCACAGTAATGTCCTACAAACAATCATGGATTGAGTGACCACATTTTTTTCTCTCAGAGGGATTATTACCCCTGGAAAGGGATGCGACAATCGACAAACAATTGGGTTTTTATTTACTGCTAGGTAAACAGAGGCAATGTGGAGTAAGGAAACTTGCCTAGGGTTTCTTCCTGCCCATGAATTGAAACTGCGTCTTCTTGCTTGAAAGGTGTCTCAAACTTCTACGCTATGGGATTCCTTTATTGCAGAAACACAGTATGTTAGAGCACTGACCTGATCTGTACAAAAGTTAGTATTTGCCCGAATGCCAAATTTGAACCAAATCTATCTTTCACTCACTAGGGTATCCTGAATCCCATGCAAGGCTTTCTCAGCACGTTAGCATTTTATGGCTGGACTGGCTGGGACTTTGACCTCCGTGTCCAGAAGCATGAAATCCCCTGGGAATCACCGTCCACCTCCACCGCGATGGACCGTCCCTATACCAACCCCGTGGCTGCCTCGCTCAACTATCACGGCTTCCTCCCAGAGGACGAGAAGCTGATGGACGAAAACCACGATGGTATTGGCGACCCCTCGGAAGGTAATGGGAAGGAAAATGGTCTCTTTGTAAAAAACTCCCTGGTCTATCAGGGCTTGTAAGCTACCAACCATCTATAAATAGAAAGACCATCAGGGAAAAATTCTCAACCTCCACTGTTATCTATCATTTTTCATAATGTCTTTGTATATCACAAGCCTTCACCACACCACCAAAGTCTACCAGGCCATACCTTCTCTGTGCCTGTAGTTCAGTGATTAACCAGCAGGAGGCAGGATTCAATCATAGTGCCCGTGTTACAATGGGGTCTATTCATGCCATGGTATAAGTTGTCACGGATTCTGAATCGTATGTTACTGATATCAGCATTAAAACCCCTACATTTCTCTCAGAATATAGTGATGTTTGTTAGGGAATTTTTGCCCCAGTTAATTAAAACCAGATGATTGATACAGTAATCCCCAAATAAACCTAAATTGGTGTCGGGGTTTTTCAGACTTGGATTCAAATGCGGACCTGTGCACTTGAATGCAAATGATGTGTAATCTTACAAATGCAAATACAAAACCAAATGCTTCACACTTGAGCCGCATTTTAATGCAAATTCAAATGTGTTGTCTCCAAATGCAATTTATTTACAAATACATGTTGAATAATAATAATAATAAACCTTGCATTTGATATAGTGCTTTTCACATCTTCGAGACGTCTCAAAGCGCTTCACAGAATATACTATAAAGTGAATAAACTATATATTTTGTGGGCGAAATGCGGCAGCCAATTGCACACAGCAATTCGAAGTGACCAATCTCTTCTTTTTTTTTGAAGAAATTATTACTCCTGGAAAAGCGATGCAGAGTAAGGAAACTTGCCCAACATTTTGCCCTGCTGGGAATCGAACCCAGGTCTCTCGCTTGCGAGGCAAGAATTTCATTTGGTCAACTTCAAATGTTTCATTCAGACATTTAGATACAAATGTAATTTTTGTCTCAAGCACATTTAAATGCAGATGCATTTGGATTTGGACCCAACTCTGCAATGGTAATCCTCACAATTGGTATAACACCTTTCACATCAGGAGAACATATGAAAGCACTTCCCAACATTTATTGTAAATGATAGTCCAGTTTATACAGAGCAATACCTCCCTAAAAATTCATGAAATGAGCGACCAATTTTATCTGGGGGTTGATGGCTTGGACACCCGGAAAAATTCACTTCTCTTTTCGCATAGTGCCTTGTGGGCAGACAGGACCTTATTTATTATTTGAAAAGTGGTACCTCTAACAATGTGTGGATCCTTCAGCACTGCACTGGACTGTCAGCCTTGACTGGGAGTTCAAAGCCCCAACAGTGTAACTAACTGAGCCAAGTTGACAGCTTCTAATATTCGAAGGAATGTTTAACAATAGTTACCAACATCGTGTGCTAATCTCCCTTTTTCCCCGATTGTGGCCAATTTGTGTCGTGGGATATCTCCAGAGGAGGCCTTAAATTTATCACCTTTACCCTCAGTAACTGTTGTCTTACAATTTTAAGATCGATGGTGCGGGATTTTAGAAAACTTTTAAACCCAGTCTTAATTTAGAAGTTGTTTTCTGCAGCGCTTAAAGATTTAACTTAACAAGAAGAACAGAGTTAAGCTGATATCCTGGCTTGGCTTTGGAGGCCAACCAATGTGGTAGAACTTGGGAAGGAAGGGGTTAAATACAAAGCCAACTGTGTTATTGATTGGCCTCGTTGATGTCATTTATCAGCAATGTGATAATTACAACCGGTGATAATTAACACATCACACCTTGCTAATTTTACCTGCTATCCATCTGATGCAAGCAATTCAAATACACAATACTGTATGATTCTGAGTTTGCTTTAAAATATCTAGGACACATCTAGACTGAGGCTATAATATGAACAGTAGCATTGGTATTTTGGAAGGATGAGATTCAATTTTAATAATGCTTGCATTTGATTTAACGCCTTATCACGTTGTCGTGATAATAATAAAAATAATAATCCTTACATTTAATATAGTGCCTTATCATGTCTTTGAGACGTCTCAAAGTGCTTCACAGAATATACTGTAAAGTGAACTGATTGTATATTTTGTGGGCGAAACAGCCTTGAAATGCATCCAGTTCTGGGCACCCTACCTCAGGAAGGATATTAAGGCACTGGAAAGGGTGCAGAGGAGATTCACGAGAATGATACCAGGAATGGGGAACGTTAGCTATGAGGACAGGCTGGAAAAGTTAGGACTTTTTCCATTAGAGCAGAGAAGGTTACGCGGGGACCTGATAGAGGTCTTCAAGATCATGAAAGGTTTCGACAGGCGAGATAAGGAAAAGCTGTTTCCGCTGGTAGGTGTGTCTGTAACTCGTGGTCACAGTCTTAAGATATCTATCAAAAGAAGCAGAGGGGAGGTTAGAAGAAATTTTTTCACTCAGCGAGTTGTTAGAATTTGGAATGATCTGCCTGAAAGGGCAGTGAAGTCCGATTCGATAGCAGCTTTTAAGAGAGAACTGGATAGGTATCTGGAGAAGACAGGTTTGCAGGGTTATGGGGAGAAAGCTGGTGAGTGGGGTTAATAAAAGTTAGTTGCTCTGTCAAAGAGCCGGCACAGACTCGATGGGCCGAAAGGCCTCCTTCTGTGCCGTAACATTCTATGATTCTATGAAATGAATGACCAATTTTTTGTCAGGCAGGAATTGGAAGGACCGTTTTTATCAGTGGGTTGGAGGGCCTTCTTCTCCCGAAGCTCACTTGGGATCTTGCGAATTTCTGAAAGAACCGGATCCTAGCAGTGATCCATGGTGATCGTTTACGTTAACTTTCTGACCTTTCTCCAAATTAGTTTGTAACCTTTACTGTGCCTCCTCTTGAGTACCACTATAGATAGACCATGGCTGCAGTAATTGTCTTCTGGCCCTGATTTGAACCTCCTCCTATTATAGTGTTATATGGCATGTCAATCACAAGGACATCACTAGCACTGCAGTGTCGCCCATTAAATCACTAGGTCTTTATACAGCGTCACCTGGTCTGCAATCGACTTTTTTCTCTACAGTCATTGCACGCTGAAAGGCGTCTGAATACGATAAGTGTTAAATGGTGCCCTGCACTGAAATTGCTTTAAGGTGTCACGATGGCGGGCTTAATGGTGCCATAAAGAGCTGCTCTGAATGGACAGACATTGCAAGGGGAGTGGGGGTGGATGCCACCTCTTAGACTGCGCTTTCAGTCCTCATTCCCTTCTCACCCTCCTCGGCTCCCACCCCCAGTTCCAGTGCTGAGCCAGGATTGTTAAGTGCTTTGAGGTGCACCTCCGAACGTGAAAGGTGCTATATTAATATAATATTGCATTGTATCAGAAATTAGATCGTGGAAGTCTGAGGAGAAGATGATGTGCTTTCAGTTGGAATTTTTTTCCTTTTTTAAAATGATCTCCTCATGGGTCTAAACTCCTATGTAATATTAACTTGGTTCAATCTCATCAGATGCTGAATTTCCTCACCTTAATGGTATAATATTATTAACATAATATATATAATATATAATAATAATCCTTGCATGTGATATAACGCTTTTCACGTCTTCTAGACGTCTCAAAGCGCTTTGCAGAATTTACTGTAAAATGAATTGACTATATATTTGTGGGTGAAACGTGGCAGCCAATTGCGCACAGCAGTGTCCCACAAACAGTCGTGGATTGAGTGACCAAATTATTTTTTTTAAGGATTATTATCCCCGCAAAAGCGATCCGCCAATTGAATAACAACTTACTGCTACGTTCCTACTTATTGCTAGGTAAACAGAGGGTGTGGAGTAAGGAAACTTGCCCAACATTTCGTCCTGTTGGGAATCAAAAACACAGGTCTCTCGCTTGCGAGGTGAGTGCTCTAACCACTGAGATGCAGGACTCCAATGTCCCTCATTTAGGGACAGCACTGACTCCAGCTCGTGTCCTGAAACCACTATACAGCGATCCCTGTTATAACTCGGTGTTGGGTCCATAAACTCAGACCCTGTGTTGTATTAAAAAAAAGGTCAGGACCATGTTTTTCAGGTCGTGTCATAGCTCGCACACGCAGGAAGTGACGTCAGCAGCACTTTCTGTACATAAGCTTGCACACGCAGGAAATGATATCAGTAATAATAATAATAATCTTTGCAGTTGACATAGCACCTCATCACCTTGCTGAGAGGTCTCAAAGCGCTTCACAGACTATACAATACAAAATTACATTTGCAATGCGCCGTTCAGGTCAGGAGGATGTCCCAGGGCACTGAGCAGTTAGGGATTAGGACCCGAGCAGGGGTGGGTGGGGGTAGTCAGAGAGGGTAAGAGGCTGGCCGAAGGCACGGTCGAAGAGGAGGGTCTTGAGGCATGCCTTGAAGGAGGCAAGGGAGGGAGCGAGGTGAAGGAAATGTGGGATGGAGTTCCAGAGGGTGGGGGCAGAGCGGCTGAAGGCGTGACCGCCTATGGTGGGGTGGGCCGGGGACATGGAGCAAGCCGGAGCCTGCTGAGCGGTGGGTGCGGACAGATTGATAAAAGGTTTACAGGTCGGAAAGGTAGGAGAGGGCAAGGCCTTGGGGGGCCTGGAAGGTGAGGGCAAGAATTTTGAACTTGATACTGTGATGGGGTCACGGAGCCTGGTGCGGGAGAGGACGTGAGCTGCAGAGTTCTGGATGTTCGGCAGCTTGTGGAGGGCAGAGTCGGGATGGCCCACAAACAGGGCATTGGCATAGTCGAGCCTGGTTGTAATGAGAGTTTAGGCAATCTGATGGGTGAGGCAGTGGCAGTGTCGGGCAATGTTGCAGAGGTGGGGGAAGGCAGAGCTAAAGCTGTAAATTCAGTGTAAAGTATATTTTGGTTATTTTGTGGGCGAAACGCAGCAGCTAATTGCGCACAGCAGTGTTCCAGAAACGGTGGTGGATTGAGTGACAAAACGAGTCTGTTTAAAAAAAATTTGAAGGAATTATTAGCCCCAGAAAAGCGATCCGCCAATCGACCAACAACCGGGTTCCTCCTTATTGTTAGGTAAACAGAGGCGTTTGGAGTAAGAAAACTGGCCCGATGTTTCGCCCTGCCAGGAATCAAACTCAGGTCTCTTCACTTGGGAGGCAAGTGTTCTAACCCCTGAGCTACTGGACACTTCTTGTGCTTAGTGAACACACGCAGGAAGCCAACAGCCAGTGATTGTTGGAAGCTGGAAGTATACTATGTTTCTGGTCTAGCACTGGTCTGCGGTACACTATAAGTAAAATCCTGCTAAACCGAGCCACATTATAACGGGGCATTGGGGAATAAGAGCGATGTGAAGAAGGAAATTCATTGTAAATCAAAGCACAGTAAAGGCTTAAAAGTGACCCCCACAGAAGCCAAATTTGGACAAAATCAATTCCTTTTCTTAAATAACTACCTTGTTTCTCTTTTTCCTTTTCTGTGAGTGGTGAGGAGGCGCTGCAGGTCTTTGTAGATGTGTTGCAAAACCTTTAATTCAGTTTTAAATCAAAGGGCGATTTAAATCTTTCAAGGCAATTGGGGGTTGTTGAAATACGGTTCACCATTTGCCCTATCTCATCTTTATTTTTTTCCTCATTAAAAACAATCTGAAGTTAAACTTAAAATACTACTCATTTAACATTCACGTCCTGGGTCGGTTGTGGACAAATGCCGCTGAAACAGGTTTGCTGCTCTGTTAGTGTTAGTGTTTCTGACCCCACTTCACTACCCGCTGCCTCCGCTCGGTCCGCTCTGGGCTCCTGCTTGTCTCTCGTCCCCTCCACTCCACCATCGGCGGCCATGCTTTCAGTCACTCCGCACAGAAGCTTTGGAATTCTCTCCCCCAATCTCTCCACTTTACCTCCCTCTTTCCCTCTTTTAGATCACAACTCAAGACCTTCCTCTTCAACCATGCTTGCTGTCAGCTCCTCCCGGCTCAGCATCAGGTTCCATCACTGTTAAGCACTCCAAGACACTGCTGACATGAAGGACCCTATATAAATGCAAATTGTTATTGGGCTATTAAAGGTTGTAATCATTCCTAATCATTTGGTCCATTGGATTTCAGCCTTGAACACTATCCTACATCAAGGGCCCTATATAAATACAAGTTGTTGTGGGCCTGTATTCCATGCAGTGCAATTCTACGTAAGTCATTAAGCCTGAGAAACTCTTTTCATTTGTACAATCTAGTCATTGCAACTTTATTCACCTGAACTTCAGAAAACCCTGGGACTTAAACTGTGAGGATAGTGAAGCAAGCGCTAAGCCCAGCAGGTACAATTATGTTTAGCTGTTGAATGCAGCAATGTCCACCTAAGTCCACAAAATCCACTGTCCTGCATAGCAAATCACTTTGAAATTGGGCGAGGGCTTTGTACGAAGATTTCAAAATGTTGTATGGAAACGTTAGTAACATTACAAAGGCACTTTCCCATTTCTTTGCTAGGTTCTGAGGCCAGTACAGTTGAATTGAACGTGTCAAGTGAACTGCACGACATAGACGGCATAGATGCCGATAGTGAATCACTGAAAAACACTGAGAGGGCGTAACTGTTGGTGAGATGAATGAGTTCCGCGCCACCTTTAAATGTCGTCCTGAAAATCTGTCCGAACCCCATTTAATACCATTCTGAACTAGTTTTGCAATCTGTTTAAAATATTGGCTGTGTTAAGGAATGGTGGTGTGTGTAGGGGATTTAGAAGTGCATGCAGTGCGGACTTGGTTTGAGAAGGTATATTATGTTCATGTCATTTGCTATCTCCAGCCCTGCACACTGTGTAATCCCATGCAGTTAGGTAACTAGTTCCAATCATACTTTGCTTTAGAAGAGTAGAAGAACGGTTATTATTGTTGTGTCCATCATGTTTTACAATACAATAAATGTTAGAGATGCTCAATAAAATGTCTGAGAGAGAAAGCACGTATTCTCTGTTTTCCAGTTCTTACAAGGGGGGTCCCATTTGTAAGGTTAACCTTCCTTTCACATTCAGATGCTGTTTGATGTGCTTGTGCGTTGCTCTGTTTTCATTTCAAATCCAGATCGCGTGCGTCAGTAGCACTCTCGCCTCCGAGTTGGAAGGTTGTGGGTTCAAGCACCTACATTGGTAGTGAGAACTCATTTAGTCTAAGCTGACACTCAAATGCAGTGCTGGGGTAGTACTGCATTGTTAGAGGAGCTGACCATCGGATGAGATGTTAAACCAAGTCCCAGGGGGGCATTAAAGATCCCATTGCACTATTCAAAGAGGGAAGGGAGTTTCTCCTGGTGTCTTGGCCAACAATAGATAATTATTTGGGGAGGACAAGTTTGCAGGGCTATGGGGAGAGAGTGGGGGAGTGGGATTGAATTGGGTAGCTCTTTTCAAAGAGCCGGCAGAGACACGATGGGCCGAATGGCCTCCTTCTGTGCTGTATCATTCTATGATTCTATGAATCTCCTAAATAAAAAAAGATTGGTCACTCACTTCACAGCTGTTTGAGGGACATTGCTGTGTGCAACTTGCATTTATATAATAATAATAATCCTTGCATTTGATATTGTGCCTTACCACATCTTCGAGACATCACAAAGCGCTTCACAGAATATACTGTAAAGTGAATTGACTATATATTTTGTGAGTGAAATGCAGCAGGCAATTGCACACAGCAGTGTCCCACAAACAGTCGTGGATTGAGTAACCAATTTATTATTATTTTTTTTGAAGGAATTATTACTCCCGGGAATCAAATCCAGGTCTCTCGCTTGCGAGGTGTGTGCTCTAACCACTGAGCTACAGGACGCCACAATATAGCATCCTTCATGGGGGAGAGGGGGTAGCATCTTGGAGCACTTAAACACAGTCGCAGCACTTCATAATACATCCCCTGAAGTCTTTGGGACATCCATCTGACATGAAAGGCGCTATACCAAATGTAAAATGCCCATCCATTGCACCAACGTAACTTTAATGCACTGACCAGAAAGTCAGCCACAGAGAGAATAGACTGTCAAACAAGAGGTGTGGAAAACAACAAACATGATTACTGAGGTGGGAAATCTGGATTGAGGTCAGGAGATTTTAATTCCCCCAAAATTCAGAATTGAATACTTTCTAAAGGCACACCACACTGTGTGCGAGTGAGACAGCTGGCAGTAATCCAGTCGAGAGATTCAAGTGTTAAACCGAAAGTTTTCATTCGCAGCTATGGTATTGGTAAACATTTCTAACATGCAAAATACAGATTTTTTTAAAAAAATGCAATTTGTTTTAACTTTACTGGGTCGTCAAATTACCAATTTTACTTGAAATTAAGATTTTCTGGTACTTGCAGATGCTTCTCTCTGACCTACTATCCCCCTACCTACCTGCCTGTACCCTCCGTTCCTCTGGCTCCGGTCTGCTCCACATCCCCCATCCCAACCGCCCTACCATTGGTGGCCGGGCCTTCAGCCTCTCAGCCCCGAGGCTCTGGAACTCCATCCCCCAGTGCCTTCGCCGCCTCCTCCCTTTCCTCCTTCAAGGCTGGTCTCAAGACCTTTCTCTTTGACCATGGCTTCAGCTCCACTCTCGACTCTCTACCCACTCCTCGCTCCCTCCCTTCCCTCACCCTGACCATTTCTCCCCTGCTCGGGTCCTGACCCAACTGTACAGCGCCTTGGGATGTCCTCCCGACGTGAAAGGCGCTCTATAAATGGAATCTTGTTGTTCTTGTAAACGACACGTAAACGACATTCAAAATGACATGGCTGATTTTGAGACCTGCTTGTTTGGTGCTGGGGATGTGTTGCATTGTCAGAGGTGCCGTGCTTTGGATAAGGTGTTAAATAAAAGTCCCGTTTAGGTGAACGCTAAAGATCCCAATCCACTGTTCGAAAAGAGAAGGGAGTTTTTGCCAGTGTCCTGGCCAAAAATCTCCCAAATAAATTTGTGGGTAATCGCGGCAGCCCAACTGCGCACAGCAATGTCCACAAACAGCCGTGAAACGTATGACCAATTTTATTTGGAGGACAGGAAGACCTCGGGTTAATGCCCTATCCAGAGGACACCACCCCCAACAATGCTTTGGACTGTCAGTTTAGAGTAGTATATGTGAATTCAAGTCCAGATGCGGGACTTAAACCCTTAACTTTCTGACTCAGAGACAACCGTGGTTACCACTGAACCAAGCTGACACACCTAAAATAACATAACCTAGAGACAAATGCATTCTGGCACTCAGCTTCATGCATTTCCTTTTAAATTATTTTTGTGAATGACACATCAGACTTCTGTCTGAATACTAAGTTGCATTTCTGTGCTTGAAACCCACACTAGATTTCATTGAAAAAGCGACAAACCGTATTATTATTATGTAACTTGGCAGCCGATGGGGGAAAAACCAAGCAACCTTGTGTCTTTTAATTAAACATTGGAGGAAATGCATTCATTACAATCCATGAACTCTGCACATCAACTCCTGCCTGTGGCTCAGTAACCTTTTGAAAATGCAGTACATTTACATTTTTGTGATTGTGCAATAAACAGTGTTATAATACATGGCCCCCTTCTGTCAACATCTAGCGTTAAATAAAGCTAGACACATTATTTCTAGCAGTTTGCCATTACCAAACCATCATTGAATAGGGACTATCAGTGTATAGCAACCCACAATGTGTTGGAACGAACCATCATTGTGAAAGAAGTAAAAGACCAAAGAGTTATGCATTTCAGAACCGTTTCCTTTAATTTACTAGACTCAATTTTGCTAACCATTGTCTTCCACTTTACAGAGAGCTGACCAACAGTACAGTGTTCTTCACCAGAGTATTTTTCTCCTGCAATATTACAGGAAGGTGGCACCTCTGCTTATATTTTGCATGTGTGGTGTGATAGTGTTATTGAGTCATACCATCGGAGTTACCCATTGGGTTTATAATTTAGATTAGAGTATAATCCGCAGAAACAAGTTATTATTAGAAAAACTTAACCAGTTTGCTCTTTGCGATCATTTCAGGTTCAGGTTACAGGGGCTACTTAACATTGCAATAGCTCCAAATAACACGGTTCCCGGCAGTTCAGTAGAGTGCAATGGGGGATGTTGCGTGGTAGATTTTAACAGGTGCTATCTATTGGCTTCCAGCTTTTGGCTGCCTCTTGAAACGAGATTTCCGGTTATAGACATCCGATTGCCTCAGTGCAGTTGATTCACTAGAATGCCACGTGAGCTACAGAGGAAACCTTGTTACAGGATGAGCGACTGGGTTCAACAGCTCGATGTTTGTTTTTTTTGAAGCGCTCAAAAAGTGGTTGACTTCCAGGTTGCACTAAGGTCGAGGCCCCACATCTGTTGCGACCTTAAGACCCTATAGTTGGCCATTTTTGTCACCCAAAAGATGTCGCTGAAAATCAAATAAATTGCCCCTGTTCCCCACACACAAAAATCAAGGTAAATAAATATTATCCGTCTAAATCCTTCCTTCACCCTCAAAAAAATAAAAAATGAACATCAGGCAAGTCTAACTACATCGTACCTCGAACCTAATGCGCTTGAATCCCACACAACACAGAAATCCTTCCTGTGATGTTTTTCCAGTGATGTATTTGATACTGTACTAGCGATACACTGGTCTACAAATCCCTTCAGACCCTGGCACCTCCCTACCTTTCTGACTTGCGTTCTCCACACTCCACTACCCGCTGCCTCCACTCTGCTAGCTCTGGCCCCGTTTATCTCTTGTCCCCACCGCTCCACCATCAGCGGCCATGCTTTCAGCCCCAAAGCTTTGGAACTCTCTTCCCCAATCCCTCTGACTTGCTCCGTCCTTCCACTCTTTTAGATCATGATTGAAGACCTTACTCTTCAACCGTGCTTACGGTCACCTCCTCCATCGCCCCTGCCTCGGCGTCATTGTTTAGCGCTCCGAGACGCTGCCCTGTGTGAAGAGCACTATATAAATTGTTGTTAATACAGGGAACGGAAATAATGTGCAGCACAAGTCACTGCCATCATTTGGGTGGGGGGGGGGGGACTGCAAACAATAAAAGAAAAATCACAGAATCATATTTTCTAATATCAAAATATAGCAATTTATTCAAGACATTGAATATGATTTTTGATGATTTGATTTTGTTTAATGAGCACATGAGTTACATCACACATTCGGCATTAGAAGAAACATAAAAGGTCACATGATCTCCTCGGACCTAAACTCCTGAGAGGCTGCAAGGAGAAGTAACATAGTCTGGCTGACAGTCTGACACAGACAATAAAAACAACAGAAGCCAGAACACAGAGTTTTAACAAAGGAGCATTCTGCATAATGACGAGGAACATAGTCAAAAAACCCAACCAAGGACAAAACAAAGCAAACCCTTACATTAGACAAAGTGCACTTCACCTGGCTCTAAACAGCTTTGTTAGCAAATTTTTAAAAAAAGACCTAAAGCATGGCAATGAGATTAAAGAATTTCACCTGTTGTACAGTGTTAAGATGTCTCGTTTCTTGGATCGCTTTAAAACAAAGTGTCTACTAGGTTCGTGGTTTTGCCGTTCTGGCTGTTTTAAGGTCTGACGTGTGTTTAAAAGGTAGAAATTACAAATATTTATTTTGCTATCGTTTTTTTTTCTTCAAAAAATACACTGGGGGAAATCTTCCCGTCGAGTCTTTCTTTCCGTGTGTGAAGCTGATGAGTTCACCTTCTCAAATGTAAAGCACTTTTTTTTGTACACAGTTTCTCTGAAGAAGAAATGCCTTTCGAAAGATCATGACCTGAAGCACAATAATGTAAGCAAGTCTAACCAGCAGTTCGGAAAAAAAAATCTTTATGTTTGAAACTCCCTCCCCCCCATCCCCCCTCCCACTCCCGCCCCCACCCTCCCTCCCCCCACCCCCCCCTCCCCGCCCCACACACACAGATTCCTCCCTGCAGCGTCTAAAACAACCGTTCACATTCCAACCCTGGTAAAAGCTTCTTAGGAACCTACGTAATACTCCAAAAACATTTTTCTCTTTTTTTTAAAAAAAAACAAAAAAATCCAGAAAATATAAAGTGTTGCTATTACAAAGTTGCACATTATTTCACTGCAACAGAAACACAAATGTTAATTCGTCCTTTTCAGCAGCACTGTAGTGTCCAAACCAGAACGAGGAAAAGTACATGAAGGAAGGAAAAACTGTGTTATTTTCCTTTTTTATGTTTGTTTGATTTTTTTTTCTCTGCTTTGTGTCACTTTTTTTTGGTACATCACAGCAATCTGCAGTTTGGCACAATGTTCTCAGTCACTCTCGAACCATCAGCTTCCATTATCCATCCTCGCTGAAGTCCCCAACAGTGACTGACGCAGTTTCCTTGCCTGGCATTCCAAGGCTGAAGAGTTGAACTGGTAAAAACACCAACGGGTGGATCGGGTTTTCCATTTAGAGGGGCGAGCCCAGGAGAGGGGGGGGGGAGGGCGGGTGAGTGGGGGTGAGAAGAGGAAAGCAGGGATGGGGCAGAGGGAGGTGGGGGGGGGGGCTGAGGGGAGGAGGAGGGGAAGAGGTCTTGCAGACAACCAAAAAATTATTTCTTTTCATATATAAAAAATCAGAATTAAACTGACTGACAGGGAGAGCTGGTTTTACCATTCGTGTTAAAGTCAGTTTTTTTTGTGGTTCTGGAGCTGACACACTGTGAAGGAGCGTGCTTGCCACCCACACATTCACTGCCGGTCTAATCTTACATCCTGTCACCCTGCGCCATCTGCTATTTCCGTAGATCAAGCACGCAGACCTGTAAGACAAAAGAGGACCAATGAACCAAATGCAGGTAAAGAGCAAAGCCAGCCGGCTTCATGTGCCCCACCCCACCATCAGTTAATCTGCCCCCCGCTTTCTCTGCAAATCTATCCTAGTCTCTTCAATTTTCTCTCTCCCTCCCCTCGTTCAAGGCTCATGATGATATAACAATACAACAACAACAAGATTCCATTTATAGAGCGCCTTTCACGTCGGGAGGACGTCCCAAAGCGCTGGACAGTTGGGTCAGGACCCGAGCAGGAGGGAAATGGTCAGGGGGAGGGAAGGGAGGGAGCGAGGAGGGGGGAAATGGTCAGGGTGAGGGGAGGGAAGGGAGGGAGCGAGGAGGGGGTAGAGAGTTGAGAGGGGAGCTGAAGGCTCGGTCAAAGAGAAAGGTCTTGAGACCGGCCTTGAAGGAGGAAAGGGAGGAGGCAAGGCGAAGGCACTGGGGGATGGAGTTCCAGAGCCACCGATGGTAGGGCGGTTGGGGCGGGGGATGTGGAGCAGACCGGAGCCAGAGGAATGAAGGGTACGGGCAGGTATGTAGGGGGATAGTAGGTCGGAGAGGTAGGAGGGAGCGAGGCCGTGTATGGCCTTGTAGGTGAGGATCTTGAATTTGATCTTCTGGGGGATGGGGAGCCAGTGGAGGCGAGCGAGGGTGGGAGTGATGTGGTCCCGGTGCGGGACAGTACACGAGCTGCAGAGTTCTGAATGACCTGCAGTGTGGAGGGAGGTGCCGGGAAGGCCGGCGAGGAGAGAGTTCCCATAGTCCAGCCTTGAGGTGATAAAGGCGTGGACCAGAGTTTCAGCAGCGTGAGGGGTGAGGTAGTGCCGTAGTCTGGCGATATTCAGAATAATCCTTGCATTTGATACAACGCCGTATCACGTCTTCGAGACACCTCAAAGCTCTTCACAGAATATACTGTAAAGTGAATTGACTGTATATTATGTGGGCGAAACTCATGTCAAACAAAATGTATCTCATTGACAAGTGTGTTTGGTCATCTTTTCCCTCAGCTCCCACCCCAGCTTGCTTTGCTTTCCATTGAGAGCATTGTCTGGTCTGGTCCAGAATTTTGGCCTGCAGAGTTAACAGATGCCAAGTGGGTAGAACCCAAGCTCCCAATCACTGGTTTGTTCCTCCAAGTCCAGCCGATAAGCCAAGCTGGCAAATCTGTCATCAACAGTACCTGGGGAGTATTGTGGACCTGCCTGGCTCAGGAACCAGACTAAAAAGGTTGTCACAGAAAACTGACACGATCTTGTGAGGCCAGCTGAGTCCCACGGTGCCTCAGTCTCCAATCTCTTGGCCTTTGAAACTCGCTTCCAAAGCCTATTAGCCTCACTTTCTCTCTGCCTGCCTTCAAAACACTCCTAGAACACATTATTATAAAGCGCTCCGAGACGCCATCCGGCGTGCAGGACGCTATATAAATGCAAGTTGTTATTGTTTTATTGACGTTTTTGGTCAATATCCTTAAATCTCTCTTCCCTGTCCTGTGTTCCCTGAAGTGCTTTATGAGGTTCATTCCTCACGAAAGGAGCCATATAAGTGCAAGTCGCTGCCTCTCAGTTTTGGTCTCCCCTTGTTGATGAGAAATCTTCAGCTCAGGCTCCTGTTCCCTTGGCTTTTAAGTCACCCACAATGCAAACGCTCAGCACATTCTCTAGTTGTAGTAACGCCAGCACCCATCTCGCTGACAGCTCACTGGTCTAAGCTCCTATGGATGACTGCGCAGAGCTCCACTTTACTATGGCAACCCTTTTTTTCCCCGTTAATTGTGGCCAGAACACCCATTGTTACTATGGTAAATGCAACAAAGCATTTCTTTAGAAGAGTCCAAAATATGGGACGTTTAACTCCTTCCTTCCGAGTTCCAAATAAAGTGGTTATGAATACCGTAGAGCAGGCAGATTAGTGAGAGGAACGTTCACTCGATTCAGAGTTAGTTACACCTCATTGTGTTTTGAGTGAATGAATAATAATAATAATCCTTGCATTTGATATAGTGCCTTATCACGTCGTTAAGATGTCTCAAAGGGCTTTACAGAATATATTGTAAAGTGAATTGACCGTATATTTTGGTGGATGAAATGCATGAAAACACATTGTGGCTGTGGATTGTGCTGCATTTGCAATACACAGAGTGTTACGGCACGCAAACAAGTCATTTTTGAGTCTGTGACAAACCCACACCCCCCAGTACTGCATTGGTGTGTCAGCTAAGACTATGTTAGTTAGCTCAAGTCCTGACGTGGGTTAACCACATTTTTGATCGATGTAATAATTATCACTGCCAAAAATTATTGCAAATCACACCGGTTTCGTCACCCATTGTTTTTCTTTCTACCGTGAAACAGTCAGCTAGGCATTTTTGGTTGAATGTCTTTCAATAATTACCCTTTCGATACCTAAGCTGCTTTGAGGCAGCCTTCCAGCGTGAAAGGCCCTATATAAATGTAAATTGTATTGCACCTGATATAAAAAAAGCTTCTTTTTGACGCTAAATAAAGAATTCCTCCAGTTTAAAGGGAAGAATGAAAATGAACCCACTGCAGATACTTACAGAACCATCTGATGCGCTCGCTCCCACTTTGTCCCCTGATGCATTCCAACAGACCTCAAAGATCCCTCCGGTCCCTCTGTAGCTGTGTACTAGAGCCCCCGTCTATACAAAAGAAGAAAGCAGTGAAGTTTTGTAGTGCCTCGTCACTTTGAATTCTCTCAAAACTCTTTACAGTAGTTGCTGACGACAGTAGTGACTATTTTTTGTCAGCTAATGCAGCAAGCATTTTACACACAGCAAGGTCCCAGAAGCAGAACACAGAGAAAAACTCCTTTTTTCGAATAGTCAAGTAGGGAGTTCGTATCTTCCTGAAAAATAGGCACTGGAGTGTCAGTCGAGACTATAAACTCAAGTTCTGACGGGGAACTTGAACTCACAACCTTCTGACCTTGAGTGCAAACAACCAAGCCCCTGCTGATAAAGCTAAAGACAGGAGTTTCAATCCACACCTGTCCTCTTTGCACACTGCAGACAACACAGCTGACAGAAAGGTTACGTTTCAAGCTAACAATTCGCAATTATAATAATAGTAATCCTGGCTTTTGATATAGCTAGCGCCTTATCACGTCGTAGAGACATCTCAAAGGGCTTCACAGAATAAACTGTAAAGTGGATTGACTGTACATTTTGTGAGCAAAACGCGGCAGCCAATTGCGCACAGCAGTGTCCCACAAACAGTCGTGGGTTGAGGGACCAAATTATTATTGTTATTTTACAGCTACACTGTAGACAGTTGACAACCTTCGCATGCATTACTAAGCAAACAGGACCAATAGTGAAAAGTTTCAATGCAAAAGCCCTGATCGACAACCAGTCATTAAATGTCAAAAGCAAAGCCACATGTTGTAGCTCCACATGACTCCAAGCACCACATTCCCAAATGTGACTATCGCCAGTAAATGTCATGCCAGCATTACCTGAGTGTTCCATATATGGACACATTTGTCAAAAGACCCACTGGCTAGATATTTGCCGTCAGGACTGAAGGCTACACTGTAGACAGGTTCTTGGTGCTTGGTTAAGGTGTGAAGGCAAACTCCTCTTTCCACATCCCATAGGCGGACAGTTGAGTCGAATGAAGCACTGAAAAGTAGAAGAATCCAAATTATGGAAACAACCTGATCTCCCTCTATGTCCTTTGACACTCTAACTCAGGTCCACGATATCGATCGCTTCAACTCTCTTAAGTGCAGGTCAGCAAGTCTGTCATAGGGAAGTAAACTAATAATAAAAATAATAATACGATAATCGTGGGATTGAATTGGAAGCTTTTTTCAAAGAGCTGGCACAGACCCGATGGGTCGAATAGCCTCCTTCTGTGCTGTATAATTCTATGATCCTAATCCTTGCATTTGATATAGCGCCTTATGATGTCATCGAGACATCTGAAAGCGGTTCACAGGACATAATGTAAAGTGGATTAACTCTGTATTTTCTGGGCGAAACACGGCAGATAGTTGCGCACAGCAACGTCTCACAAACTGAAACATAAAGGTAACTACATTTTTAACTTATACAGTTTTGTCCAACAGAGCTCACTGTAGAACAGGTGGATTGAGTAGTTAAATAATTAGCTCGAAATAAGTTTTGCTCTTTTTGTTTTGCATCATCACACAACACTCATCACACAACTCTGATCACAAGTAAACCAAAGTGGCTTAAGCATACTGATATTTTACCTCTCAAGATGAGTTTTGTCTTAAAACCAGTTCCTCTTGGGGATGGTTCTACAGGAAAACCGTCCACAATTCAACCTAATTTACCAATCTCATTCAGCAAGGTACTTAATGATAAAATAATAACAATCCTTGAATTTGATATAGCGCTTTTGAAGTCTTCTAGACATCTCAAAGCGCTTCACAGAATATACTGTAAAGTGAATTGACTGTATATTTTGTGGGCGAAACGCGACAGACAATTGCTCACAGCAGTGTCCCACAAAGAGTCGTTGATTGAATGACCAAATTATTATCATTTTTTTTAAGGGATTATTATCCCCGGAAAAGCAATCCGCCAATCGACTAACAACCGGGTTCCTACTTACTGCTAGGTAATCAGAGGGGTGGGGAATAAGGAAACTTGCCCAACATTTTGCCCTGCCGGGAATAGAACGCAGGTCTCTCACTTGTGAGCCGAGTGCTCTAACCACTGAGCTACAGGACTCCACATGTGTGTGAAATGAAAACGTCTCACTGGTGTAGTGTAGTGCAGGGCAGGGGGTGTGGGAGGTGGGGTGTGCTCTAAGGATCATGCCAACCTTTGCCATTCCAGGGTTAACATGGAAAACATTCAGCCAATTAATAATAATGATAAAAATAATCCTTGCATTTGATGCAACTAGGATTCATGGTAATATGACAATTAAGTTTTATTCATAAATTTATTAGATGATGCCAGATCTTTTAATCCCAACACTCCGCCGTCTTGTCACACCCCTTAAGGCCTTTCGTATTTAGGTCTGCTATTTTCCAGTGTATTTGCTGTGCGCATAAAAATCACCTAAGAATGTTTTCTACGAAGCTCCTTTGGAATTCCTTCTTTAAGGAATTCTGTCGGCTTTGTTAATGTGCCCTTACAATTTAACACTGGTATTCAAAAGCAGAGACAGCAAGGAAGGGAGGCAGGAATAATAGGAGCCAGTAAAAATAGCCTGCAAAACAGAGATAAATTCTCTTCGGCTGAAGCTGACTGGGGAATGTAAACCTGTTCTCATTGATGGAAGATAACCAAAGGTTTATTGTAATTGAAGAGGAAAAAAATTTCATTTTTACGGGACCTTATCACGTCAAAACATTTCAAAGAGCTTCATGATTCAGAGTGACTATGATTCATGGTAATATGGTAATTACGGTCAAGTGTAGCGAGCGACTTTTATGATGAACACAGCAGCCTTTTTACATACAACATCTCACCAAACAGCCATGAGGTGAATACTCAATTAAACTGGAGGATTGTTAGCCAGAACACCAGGAGAAACTCTCATTTTGAATTGTGTTATGGGAATCTTTAGTATCCACCTAAAAGCCACCACCTCATGTTGAGGTTTTATCTGAAGGACAGCACCTCAGACAAATGTAGCACTTCCCCAGCAATGCATTTTACCATCAGCCTGAACTATCCAGACATAGGGCTTGAACCCCCAATCTTTACTACAATCTACCATGTGCCAGCCTGGCTCAGTTGGTAGGACTCTTTCCACTGAGTCTGAAAGTTTTGGAGGTGTGGTGCCTTGGATGAGACGTTAAAACAAAGCGCTCTCTGCCTGTTCAGGTGGATGTTAAGGATCCCACGGCACTATTCACAAGGATTGGTGAAGATGCGCATGGAGTGGTGATGTAGAGTCTAAACTCCGGCATTTGACTGGTTGGATCGAATGGCCTGTTTTAGCATTGAAACATTCTGTGTAATTCTAGATGAATAAAAAAGGACCAATTGTTCTTGAAATAACATAAAGTGAGCCAAACCTACCTGGCTAACATGATATAAGAGTTAGGGTTGTTGGTGCCTGGGCCAGTAGGACTCCATTTTATAGTGTAGATCTCCTTATTGTGGGCCTGCAAATCATGTACGCACGTGTCCTGCTTCATGTTCCAGATCTGTACAGGAAAAACACAGGAAAATTGACCATCTCTTGAGAAAATTTAGGAGGACCTACAGCAGAGGGCAGTAAGAATGTGAAACTCGCTGCCCTAAGCGGTGGCTATACATTTAAGAGGAAGACAGATGAGGGAGAGGGGAAGAGAAAAGTATGGGAGGGAATAAGTAGTGGATGAAGACTCATGTGGAGTATAAATTGGCTCAGACTAGTTGGGCCAAATGCCTGTTTCCATGTTGTATATTCTATGTAAACCTATGTAAACACATTTGCGCCTTTGAGCTCTGGCTAAAGATTAAATGCCAAAATGGTAAATAATGATATATCCCCAGTAAACAAGACTGCAGAACCAGAAGTGAATGCTACTCCTCTCTGTGAAGGAAAAAAGTGTCTGGGAAATCCTGCCCTTACCAGAAACGACAACATTCCTTCTAATAAAATGACGTGATACAAAAAATACTTAGCGGGAGGAATAAAAAGGTAGACGTTCTCATGCATTAGATCAGGGGGGAGGGCAACCTTTTGGCTACTGAGGACCAGAGGCCAGATTTGAGAAACATCCGCAGGCTGCAGAAGCAATATTTTATCCTGATCCACCAGTCCTATCGGCAAGGGTACTGTCTCTGATTTGCTTGGGGCCTGCGTGTTGTCTGTATTTTCTCATCCAACACAATGCAGTTGGAAATGGTTCTCGTGCTGCATTAAATTATCCCCTGGGCCGGATGTGGCCCATGGGCTGCCAGTTGGATCACCTTGCATTCGATTACTGACTAAACACTATGGAATAACAGGCATAGAGAAATGGGGCCTTGCTCGTTTCACTAGACTGCTGTTTTGGCGAGGTGACTATGAGCCCTTGGTTTTTAAGCAAAGCACAGCTTATGTGTCGATTTATTGGAGGAGCCGATGAGGGATTCAAACCATAATTCGATTGTCCTACCTTCAGTGTCATGTCGTCTGAGCAGGATGCTAGCAGCATACCAGATGGGTCCCATTTGATAGCATTTACTTCATTCTGAAAACATAAAAGAGCAAGCAGTGAACAATCTGCAAGGCCAACCTTCACCTGAAGAGGGTGACATTTTGCCTTCAAAGGCCGGGACAATGCATTAACTCCAGCAGCACAAATCGAAAGTTCTTTTAGAGGGAATAAATTTCACTGAATTTTTACCGTCTTCCTCCGCACTATCCCCGCCTTTGTTTATTTTCTATTGCGTTGTCGTTATACTTTTGCTTCCCATTTGTCAGTTTGTTTTGCGACTGAACAGACAGGGAGCTGGACTACACTGCCAAATCAACAGCAATAGATCTGGACCAGTTATAAATAATAATCCTTGCATTTGATATACGCTTTTCACGTCGGGAGGACGTCCCAAAGCGCTTCACAGAACACACTGTAAAGTGAATTGACTATATTTGTGGGCGAATGCGGCAGACAATTATTATTAGGCGTGTGGAGTAAGGAAACTTGCCCAAGGTTTCGCCCTGACCTGCCTGGAATTGAACTCAGGTCTCTCGCTTGCAAAGCGAGTGCTCTAACCACTGAGCTACAGGACTCCACATTCTGGGAGTCCACTCCAGTTCTGGGAGTAGATCATGTCAAGCGAGGAAACTTCCTGGGTCGGAGGGGCGCACTTCAGTTACTGTCAGGAGTCGCTATTTGTAAGTTACTGTTATCAATGTCCCCCCGCAATATATGACCCCAGTATAACTGATGAACATCCATTTTAATTTTTAACAGTATCAAAAAAATCAGTGGTTAAGTGTAAAGATTTATGAGGGGGTATTTAAGGGGTTAACTTCCTCTGATTAGAAAATTATATTTGCAATTTGAGCGTAGAATGAGAGTTTGCCCCCATCGGTGCACACGAATAATAAGTCAGTTGTGTCCCCATCACCAGAATACCATCTGCTCTAATCATTATTGCTCTCATCACTGAAATAAAACCATTCAGTATTAAGGATTGGCTTTAACATCTCTGTTTAGTATACGTCAGAGAAGCAATTAAATTTGTGCTTTATCTCCAGGCTATATTCCCAAATCGGTACAGTTTATTTCAGTTCAAACCAAATCCCTTGACGTCATCCTTGGCTGTGTAGTGTTTTTGTCATGCAGCACCTCGATTAGCAAGTACAGTTCTGGTTATCACGAGAGGCTATCATGGCCCTAGAGGCATTGCAAAGGAGAGCAAGTAGGTTGGCTGGTCCTTGCTGTTAGCAGGATGAGCTGATGGAAAATGACTGGATTAACTGGGGCTCTTCAGCCTTGCAAAGGGACATCCCAGAGAGACTTTACAGAGGTAATAATAATAATAATCCTTGCATTTGATAGAGGATCCTTTTTACGTCATTGAGACGTCTCAAATCGCTTCAAGAATATAATGTAAAATGGATTGACTGTGTATTTTTTGGACGAAACGTTGCATCCAATCTCGCATAGCAGTGTCCCACAAACACCCATCAATTGAATGACAATTAATTATTTTATTTATTTATTTTGAAGGGATTATTACCCCCGGAAAGCAATCCACCAATCGATTAACAACCGGCTTCCTACTTACTGCTAGGTAAACAAAAAAGAATAAAGCTTGGTATTCAAGATAGTTAACAGGAATGGAGACAGCAAATATCAAAACTACCCTTTTGGATATGCAGAGGCTGTAGGATAGAGGGCAGAGGTTGAGGGATGTGAAGGACACGTTTAGGATAAACACTGACAGGAAAATATATCTTTATAACGGACAGGTAACCAAGAGCCAGAACAGGGAGAGTGGTTCTGTATACAAAACAGTTTTGGTGCTGTAATAAGAACAACAACCAGAATTTACATTTATATAGTGCCTTTCATGTCAAAAGGATGTCTCAAAGCACTTCACACAGCCGGCTGGCTGTGAGCTCAAGCTGGGAGGCAGAGTTGAAGAGGAGAAAAAGTGGCGGTAATCACAGTGGAAGAGACGGGTCTTCAGGCAGATTTTGGAGGCAGGAAGAGGGGGGCGGGAGGTGGAGGGAATCTGGGATGGAGTTCCAGAGAGTGGGAGTAGAATGGTTGAAAGCTGCCCCACATATGGTGGAATGAGGTGGTTTGGGCGGAGGAGATGAAGCAGAGAAGCATTGGGGCAGGAGGGTCACAGCAGGGAGGAGTGCTGGAGAGGACATAAGCTGCAGAGTTCTGGATGGTCTGGGAAGATGGGGAGAGCTAGCTTTATAATAATAATCCTTGCATTTGATACAGCACCTTATCACGTCTTTGAGACGTCTCAAAGCAGTTCACAGAATATATTGCAAAGTGAATTGACTGTATATTTTGTGGGCGAAACGTGGCAGCCAATTGCGCACAGCAATGTCCCACAAACAATCGTGGATTGAGTAAACAAATTAGAATTTGCCTTAGATGAAATGGTTTAGAGGATGTTTATGGGGACAATTCTTGGGGTCTTGTGATTGTTTATTTAGCCAGAAACGATGAAAGAGAAGCGGCGATTTGTATTCCGAAGAATTTGATAATAAAAGTTTCTTTCAATTGCAGCAAAGGCTTTATCACGCTAGAAATATACTGATGTATTCTTATGTTCTGCCACAAGGAAAAGGAAGTCATTTCATTTTAATGCAAAAACACTGCAATAGAAAAGGGAAATAGGAGCACAGAATCTTATACATTTTCTATAGCAAAATCACCTTCTGATCATCTAATGCCAATGAAATAATAATTATTATGATAATATTATTAATAGCAAAATGCACAGAACAATGCTTTTCAGGCTGAATGGTTTTGGCAATGGGAACACTTGCTTTTCACACTCACTCATGAGATTGACTTGTAACTTACTGTGTGTCCTTGGAATGTTTTGACTGGACGATCACAGCCAAGTCTGCACACGTGAATGCACATATCCGTACTGCAGGATGCAAACGTAGTGTTGTTCTGCCAGTCCACATCCAAGGCAGGAGCTGTCAAAATAGCAGCAAACTAAACATGAGGTGCTGTGCCTGCAGGAATCCCGTCAACAGCATACGTAATGATAATAATCCTTGTGTTTGATCAGGCGCCTCATCACGTCAAAAGGACGTCTCAAACTGCTTCATAGGAATTACTGTGATAGTGGAGTGACACGGTCTTCTTAGGGAAATGTGGCAGCACAATTGCGCACAGCAGTGTCCCACAAACAGCCATGAAATGAATGGCCAATTTTATTTGAAGGATTGTTGGCCAGGACATCGGGAGAAGCTCCCTTCTCCTTTCAAATAGTGCAATGGGATCTTTAATGTCCACCTGAACAGGCAGACGGGACCTTGGGTTTAATTTGACGTCTCATCTGAAGGACGGCACCTCCGACAATGCAACACTCTCCCAGCATAGCCCCGATGTGAGAAGATGCTTCGCGAAATGTAATGATAATTATTTTTGTAATAAACAATTAATGACAGAAGTAGACCCGGGAGATCATCCGAAAAGAATATTGCATTAAATGAATCTTAAGGTTCGTTCGCAAATCTGCAGTATTGTTTCAAGTTTTTCTCCTGAGCAGAGGAAGTTAAGGAGGACGGTGAGGGGAGGGTAATAAAAAATTTTAATTAAAAATTGTGAATGGCGTCTAAGGGGAAATGGAGGGAGACAATTGTCACTGATCGGCCAGTCAGTAACTGGAGGATGTTACACTTACTTACAAATCAATTCACACTCCAGCACCTCCCTACCTCTCCAACTTGCTGACACCCCTCTCCACCACTCACCCACTTTGCTCAGTTGGCTCCAGCTTTCTGTAAATCCATCATCCCCTCCGTTCTGCCATCGGTGGCCATGCTTCCAGCCACTCAGCCCAAAAACTAGAACTCTGCCTCAATCCCTGTGCCTTGATCCCTGTGCCTTGCTCCCTCCTTGCCAGTCTTTAGATCACATCTTTAGATCACATCTAAAGACTTTCGTCTTTGGCCTATTGTCATCTCCCCTCTCTCCCCAGTTCAGAGTCAAGTTCCATTATTGTTAAGCCCTCCCCATGTGAAGGGCGCTACATAAATACAAGTTGTTGTTGTAAATTGAGGATTACCATCAGACAAAAGGGAGTTTTTTTTTTGTGATCCAGTAATATGGTATGGCTTGGAGTGATCCCAATGTGCGCACTGGGTGTAACTGCTAGAGTTTAACAAGATAAAACAGCACAGCTTGCCAGTCATTGCAGTCAGGATCATCTTTATAATAATCCTTGCATTTGATATAGTGCCTTAACACGTCTTCGAGACGTCTCAAGGCGTCTCATATTTTGAGGAGAAGGACTAAAATTAAGAAGGGTGGAAAAATCAGTCCAAGGAAGCATGCATTGAAATTACTTTCGAATTGGGTGTATGTTTGTGATTGCCACTAGATGGGGTTATGATGACAGCCTATGTTTCACTGCTGTCTCTGCTCACTGTTAAAACATTTTGATGAGCAAACTGTTTAACTGAACATTCTGTTCGCTTATAATGCTGTCTCCAGAATGTGCCCTGTGAGCATTGTCCAAAGACTCAGTGGGGAGTTTAGTGTTGTTCAGAATGCTATTGAATCCGACTAAAATGTTCTGACCTGACTTCTCTCTCCCTCAGGTGGGCATGAGAATGTACGTGGGCAGAGGAAATTATGTCAGTAAGCCCTAGCGCACAGATGTGACAGACAAAACACGTGAACTCGCTTTTGTGCTATTAATATTCACTGATCTGCTCTCCAGCTTTTGCTGTGATGTGGTCCAATTGCAATGAACTGTCTGTGTGAACGTTTCCTGTCTGGGCAACTTCGTACAAGTGACACCACGTGACTTGATCACAATCTACACTGGGAGCAGGAAGCTGATCCATCATGCCATATGACAAATATTACCAATAATCATTATATTCGACTGCAAACTACAGCTTACAGCAAGATCCAGTGAAGTGCTTTGAGACAACAACAACTTGTATTTATATAACAGTCTTCACGTAGGATAGTGTCTTGGAGCACTCCACAGTGATATCCTCTTGAACTGAAAGGATTGAAACTCTCTTTTCAAAACAGTGTCATTGGATCTTTAATATCCCCCTAAACAGGCAGATGGGACTTCTCATCCGAAAGGGAGCACCTCTACTGAGATAGCCCTTCTTCCCAGCACTGGATTGGAGTGCAGGTCTAGACTATGGGTCTCAAAGTTCCAACAGTGAGGCTAGAACTTGCAACCTATTATTATTAGTTTTACCAAACACACATAACGCATTCAAATTTCCGTCTAAGTGTAATTGCAATGCCGATAAAGGCATTATAACTGTTGAATCCTGCAAGCGACAGATAGAAAATAAGCTCTCTTCACGGGAATTCTCATGGGATTCAAAATGAGTTGAAGTCAATATCCCTGGCCACTGAAGGACAGCAAGCACGATGAGGGGAGCGTGCAGTGGGCAAGTTGAGAGCGGATGCGATAATAATCCCTTTTAAAAAAATAATAATAAGCACGACTGTGCAGGGACACTGCTGTGCGCAATTGATTGCCACTTTTCGCCCACAAAATATACGGTCCATTCACTTTACAATATATTCTGTGAAGCGCTTTGAGACGTCTCGAAGACGTGATAAGGCGCTATATCAAATGCGAGGATCATTCATTTATCCAAGTTAATTTGCACCTCTAATAACGTGTGTTACCAAGGACGCAACAAGATCACTTTTGTGCTGCAATTGGGAGCGCGTGAGCCAACCGAGAAATCGTATTCCAAGATCCTGCTGAAACATTTCATAAGGTTCTGATAAGCGGTGTGTGGGGCATCTCTTTAACTGTGACAGTTCCAATCATTCCTGGAACACAGTCTGCCACCCAGATCTCACTGTGCCAATTGGATCGTTCCTTCACAACGTTCTAGCTTACTAATCTAGTAAACGTCAGTTCAAATACCAGACATTCAATTCCCCTGTTGCAGCTCAGATCTAATTTGTCTATTTATAGCAGCTACATTTCTTGGAAATGTTCAGAAAAGTGTCAGTTTCTAATCAGAGGCCAGGCTCAAGGTGTTTTCAAGCAGTTTTGTTTTTCGCACCTAGACGCACTGTTTTCGTTGCTCCCTTTTCATCAGAGATGCAAATCAGAGAACTTGAAGGAGCAAATGTTGATCAAAAGGCTGTAATGGTTAGTATATCGATACAAAAATCATTGTTCAGGGACTTGAGAGACAGATACTGTACATGGGAAGTAATGGTGTTAAGGAGGCTGGAGAAAAGGGGACAAAATGAGATCAAAAGAGTTGCTGTGATCTTAGAAACTAGTGGAAGAGGCTTGACGGGCTGAAATGGACTGCTCCTGTTTCTAGAGTCTATATGGAGATGTCCCCAAAGATAGGCTGACCATGTGTCCCTGATTTCCGGGGATAACAACAACAACAACGATAGTCCTCGCATGAGGTACTGTGTCCCTGGCCAAATTTGCCCTGCCTCGAGTTCAGCATCAAACTGAGCAAGAGCAATAACATTCTAAAATAGATCCGTTCATCAGAGAAACACAGCCATTAATCCAACATGCTTGTCCGGTAACTGCCAGCATCGGGAATTGTGGTGAGTTCAATTTTTTTAAATATGTAGCCCCAGATTTGGTTTACATAATATAGTCGTCATACTTGGCTCCGAGGCCCCCTGTTATTGGCAAGCATGGCTACATTCACTGTGGAGGCTGACAAGATATGGAGAATGAACGATGGGGGTCAAGCACTCAAGCACTCCAAGATACTACCTCGCGTGAAGGCCGCTACGTAGACGCAAGTTGTTGTTGTACTGTAGGGGCGCACGTAACCCCGATAGAAGGAAATAAAATTTTAAATATCTTCAGTAGAGGGGGAGGGAAAAAATTGGCTTGACACAGAGAGAGAGAGCGAGAGAGAGAGAGACAAATGGAAAGGAATATTGGAACAACACTGAAGCCCATTTGACTTGAGCGTGATATTTTTTCCCTGCAGTGGATTTACACTAAACAGGCCCCATGGTAACACAGCAATATGAGGAAAACAAGCGTTTGTGCCAAATGAACGCAGCTAATACACTGAATTGAACTGAAGATTCAACAAAATGTCAACAGTGCTAATTTACGAGCAACCTGAACTGAAGGGTAGGGAAGGCAGCGTCTCTCTAATATTAATTAGGTATCACAGATGTGGCTATGACCCACACTTTCGTCACGTGAATCAAAATTAAATGAGCTACTGTGCATGCACAGCATGGAATAAGACTTATTGAAAATGTGAAATAACATTACTATCAATTCGTATTGTAAATGGCAGAGCGAGAGAATAATAAACTGGATGTAGAGAATTAAAAGTGTAAACAATGTTCACTATAAGTGCTGACAGATAGGCCTGTTGTGTGCAAGTCACGGTTAGGTAATTATTTTACTGGCGGAAAGCTGCCTGGGCTGAACGTTTTGTGAGCGCATTATGTCCACGTTAATACTGTGAGTTATTAATGAATTTGCTTTGAAAGGGCATCTGCTGATACCACAAATGTGATTTTGAATTACCGCATCATTTTCAAATAGCTATTAGAATAATTTGTAAATCATTACCAGCCATTTGGAAATGCTCACATTGCAATTTTTAAAACTGCACAGTAATAGAATTATACTACTACTACTAATAATAATAGTAATAACCTCTGCGTTTGATTCAGTGTCGAATCACGTCAAACATGTTAAAAGTGCTTCACGGTTGTGACTTTTAAAGATAGCTACTTTGTATTTGTAAGCAAATGGGGCAGACGATTTTGAACATAGTAAAGTCCAGCCACAACAACAATTTCTAATTATACAGTGCCTTACACATTGGAAGGAAGTCTCAAAGCACTTTACACAGATGACTGGCAGTCTGAGCTAGCTTCGGCGGATAGCTGAGTAGAGGAGGGTAAAAGTGGTCAAAAATGTGATTTTAAGGCGAGTTTAAAGCCAGGTACAAGACTGCCTTTTGATTTACAGATCATTTGGAAACTCCCAAACAAAATGGATTGTGCAAGCCTGACTGCCTTGACAGGAATGTGATGATTAAGTGACGTCAAGATATCTGTAGGTGCGTGGGAATAGACATGCAAACTCCGCCACACATTTGAAAAAAGTGGTTCTTTTTACCAGAGTGGAATGGAAACTGCTGTTTGGCTTCTCCTGTGTGAGCGTCCCAAATTATTGTCGTCTGAAAGAAAAAAAAACTTTTTAAAAATAAATTTCAGAAAGAGAATAATAATAATCCTTGCATTTGATATAGCGCCTTATCACGTCTTCGAGACATCTCAAAGCGCTTCACGGAATATACTGTGAAGTGAATTGACTGTATATTTGTGGACGAAATGTGGCAGCCAATTGCCCACAGCAGTGTTCCATAAATAGTCGTGGATTGAGTGACTAAATTATTGGGTTTTTAAAAACATTTTTTCAAGGGATTATTACCCTGGAAAAGCAATTTGCCAATCGACTAACATCCAGGTTCCTACTTTATGCTAGGTAAACAGAGGTGTGGGAATTGAACCCAGGTCCTCTCGCTTGCCAGGTGAGTGCTATGTGTTAGAATATGTACACCATGGGTTGAATGGCCTCCTGTGGTGTCGTAGACAAGATGTATTCATCTCCAGCTACTGCAAATGGAACAAAGGGCTCTAGGTTGGCAGCATGGTTTAACAGGATTGGGCGATTTATGAATCCGAGGCGTGCAAACAGGAATTCGGTTAGCGTTAGCACGTCACACTGATGGGAGAGGTTTCCTCTCCGACCCACTTCCACATCCAGAGCAGAGTTCCAGTGGGAATTCTATCAGGATTCCCCAGTCGTGCAGCAATTGTAGACCCCATTATCTCTGCACTTGCTGCGAGTCTTCTTTCAATAATATTATTATTAATAATAATTTATTTTGTAACATTGCGCATCTGTTCCCCAAATCCAAATTGCAAGCCAAGCTCTGCACACAATAAACACGCTCTTTATCCCTCAGTAGGGTTACGTGGATTGCATTAACTTCCATTTGCTGTATTTCTATTTCTATTTGAGAGGGAAACAGCAATTTAACTTTTATATATTTTTTTTAAAAATCGAGCTGTGGGGACGACATTTAAAACATTCCGAAGCGCTTTTATGTTTTAAGATAAGTAAAGCAATGCAACGGTTCAGTGGAAATTTGAAGGAAACAGAACGTTTAGAAAATGCGACCACCGCAATAATGCATAAGTCGGAAAGGAAGCCTACAATTTTGGTATTTGCGGTAAGCGATAAGTTATCATCTGGTCAACTGCAGTCTAAGCATCTGTCAGAACTGCCCTAAGCAATGCAAAAGACTGAGAGGCTTAGCCAGAGATTTAATACTGAAGACGTTCCACTGTTGCCAGCCCAACCCGAGGCATGAGAAATGAGGAAGCGAGGAACCCTCCAGTGTATTAGGTCTACATTATATCCGGTTGTGAAACCATACATTAAAGGCTATGCTGGTTTTGACTGTGCCTTCAGCTCCCCTCTCGACTCTCTACCCCCTCCTCGCTCCCTCCCTTCCCTCCCCTCACCCTGACCATTTCCCCCCTGCTCGGGTCCTGACCCAACTGTACAGCGCCTTGGGACGTCCTCCCGACGTGAAAGGCGCTCAATAAATGGAATCTTGTTGTTGTTGTTTCAGTATGTGGGGCTGAAATACCTTTCTCAGCAGTGATCTCATAAATACAGTGCAATGTCACTGTACGAGACTCCCCTGATCACTTTATCATCGGAGGGAAATCGACCCAATGAATGAAGAAAATGATTTCTCAATGGACTTAAATTTTGACTTACACTGATGCTCTACAAAGCAACCAGTTAGCATGGACAAGGATACAAAGATGCCATCATCCGTTCTTACCTTATCAACGCCTGCGCTCAGAATATAGTTTCCCTTCTTGTTCCATTTTAAAGCAAAGATGGGACCTTTATGTTGTCCGAGGGTGCTTGCGAGATTGCCTGGAAGAAAATATTCACAAGTCAAACCAAAGCAATCCTGATGTCCTGTCGGTTTTAAAGTTCTAGTTGAAAGTGATTCCTTACCGTCTTTTGTCCATATCCTTGCAAATCCATCGTAGGACCCTGTAGCCAACAGCGTTCCGTCACTCTGTTTGGAAGAAAGTTAAAAGGTGAGATGTATAACACGAGGGAGAAGGGAATAATGTGCAGGAGAAGGGAAGTGAAGGGTATGGGAGGGAGTAAGGAGTGGGTGGGGACTCATGTAAGTATTAACACCAGCATGGACTGTTTCCGTGCTGTACAATTAATGTAAATCGATGCATGATTCGGGCCTTTGATACCTCAATAGATCCTCTAAGACACATAGGAGCAATAAGACTGAGGATGCGATGAACTCAAAAGGGTTTAACGTGTGATGTGTTAACCCTGTGATAATTATCACCCAACAACCAAACCCTGGGACAACGCTTCCCACTACAACCAAACCCCATCTAAATGATGCTCCATTTGCCCGATCAGGTGGACGCTAAAGACAACATTAATCATTCACTGTGTGGCTGTTTATGGGACACTGCTGTGCGCTGATTGACCGCCTCGTTTGAATACAAATGCACAGTCACTACAGCTTACAGTAAATCCTGTGAAATACTTTGATAAGAAGCTAGATCAAATGAAAGGGTTATTATTATACAGGCTTCCCTCCTCTTTTAAGGTTGTATCTTGCTAATCAGCAGTCTAATAGAAGTCAACAGGGAAAGCTCCAGTGTGGGAGCATCGGTGATGGAGTTGGGAGAGCAGAAAATGTGGACACTGTTACTGCGTCTTTAACATCGACTGACCTCATACATCACTTATCACTATTTAAACCATGTGATAATTATCACTGATGCTAATACATCACAGGTCACAATCTTCACCTCACCAAAGCTTATTTATTCAGAAAACGAACCTTACTCTAAATAATTCCTGCAATAAAATAACAGAATAAAGGCAAACACAAGAATAGCATCGGAACACACAAAACATTAATGCTTGAATTTTAAACACAATTGAAAATGTGACAGAGTGTGGGGGAAGAGAGGTGCCAAGGCTGGAAAAAGAAAGTCAAATGGAACTTTACTATACATTTCGTTTAGCAATTAGGACAAGTTAACTATTGGTGAAAGACTTTGAAATAAGATTGTTCCACTGCTCCATCCTATGCTTGGCGCAAGTTGTGCGAGTAATTACCTCAACATTGAGCTCTTGAACAGGGGGCGAGATGGACGGTAAGGCTGAACCATTGTCGGCGGATGGGGGAAATTAAGACAGATGCTTGAAAAAGAATATTAAAGGACTTAAGGATATTGTGGAGGCAGCTGGGTGTCTTGACACTTGTGGAAACCCATCACCAAAACACCAAATAAAGGCTGAGAGGTGAGCAAACCGGCATTAGGAAGTAGAGGGACGTTTTACTCGTCGACGCTTCTTATAATAATAAGCCTTGCATTTGATACAGCACCTTATTGCGTCTTCGAGACATCTCAAAGCGGTTTTGGGTTTTGTTGACTTGGGATGCAGCATATGGGTGAATATACAGTCAATTCACTTTTCCAATATATTCTGTGAAGCATTTTGAGACGTATCAATTATGTGATAAGGCGCTATATCAAATGCAAGAATTATTATTAATTTTATTGGGATCCACAATTCTCCCGTTACAAACTGGGAATTGCAATTAATCCGCATCACGAATATTGGGGAGTTTACAACTCGTTTTCCAGCAAATGAATTTGTCCGAAGATCGTAAATTAAACCCTCCAGTGTAGTTCGGTGATGGATTTCACCTTGTGAAGCAGAGGGAGAGAGAAATTCATTTCCATTAACACTCTGCTCTGCGGGAACACTGATGTGCTAATGCTGCTCTGCCAACAGCCTGCTCTGACTCATCGCTGGGAGATTAAAAAAGACGCAGCTGTTATTTCCTCACATGCTCTTGTCCAAATGCCCTTGGACTTCACTGGAAGCCAGGAAATCCCTGTAATATTTCAGCACTGATAACAGATCCCCACGGAATGGGGGAGAATGGGCTTGTGAGGACAAACTGAAGACATCAAGACACATTCCCTTTGCACTCACAAAGCAAAGGCAAAAATTCAATTGCTGAAACGCCTTTTGGAGTTATTTGCGATTGGCAGATTTGTTAGCAATGAGCCGGCTGTGGAGAGCAATATTCCAAGAGTTACAGTGTTAGAAGCAATTAGACGTTAAGCTTGAATCTGATGCCATATTCCATGTATGTTATATTACACACCATTATGTGCAAAAAAACTTCCAAGCATATGTTGGAAAATTAAACTAAAGGCATAACTTTATTCAATGATCCATCTTGAGGGAATAGTTGAAGTGCTTTGGGGCATCCTTTGACAATGCAGAAGGTTACAAAGGACTCCTTTTCTCAGAACTGTTACACCCGTATCCTGATGGGATTGAGAGGCTCACTTTGGAAAATAAAAGATCAAGTTAATGGTGAATAGATTTTGTTAAGAAGGGTTACTAATTGGTTTTAGAAACTTACATTCCAGTCGAGTGATGTAACATCCTTATTGCTAGGGACATCTTGCCCGCCTTCTCTTATACAGTGTCTCAGTACTAATTGAGTTGGCCCACTGTTGCTGTTCTCATTCAGATTCCATATCCTTGCAGTTGAGTCTCCAGAACTGTGAAGATAAAAACAGACTTGTCAAGTTCTTCCAATAACCACTTGGTCTGATTCCAACACTGAACATTTTTCTAAAGCAATGAGTCGCCTCTAAATCACAACAACAACAACTTGCATCTATATAACGGCCTTCATGTGGGGTAGCATTTCAAAGTGCTTGATAGTGACGGAGTCTGACACCGAGCCAGGGGGAAGAGGGAGAGGGAGGGTGGAGGTGACCGCAAGCACGATCGAAAAAGTTGGTAATTACGTGGGATTTGAAGATGGGGAGGGAAAGAACAAGGCGGAGGGAGAGCAAGGTTGGTGCTGTTCTGCAGGATGTTCACAAAGTCCTGTTACCCCTATTTTTTTTCTTACAATGCATTTTTATTTTCTGTTGCATTTTTTCTGTTGCAGATGTGGTCGAGTGTAAAAATGTCTGATACCAGTAACTTCCTCCTCACTCCATCCATGTTACGGAAGATGTGGCACTGAACAGGATGACGGATCATTATCTGCCATGAAAATGATGGCGATCCTCTGGACGTCTGAATACAGTTAAACACTTGTACTGAATACAATTAAGTACTTCTAAACACAGTTATCATCGTTCTTCCACATGTTTCAGTTGTTGGGTCAGTGCACTGGAGGAAAGAAATGGGGGTGGGGTGAACAGGACTTTGTGAACATCCTGTATGATTGTGCATCAGGCCAATGATGTTACTCAGTTGGGGCAACGGAACAAAATATTATCCCCATGCACAACAGACTTCTTATTAAAATGATTGACGCAGATTATTATAATTTTGTCTCAGTTGTAAACCTGTCCCAACCCTGTACTTACCCAGACGCCAGGAGATCACTGACAGGGTTCCAGGCACAAATGAATACTTCGGATTCGTGGCCCCTTAAGACTGTGGATTTGTTTGTAGGGATCTCGACATCTCCGTCTATTTCCATGGCCTCAGAGTGATTGTCTACAAAGAGGCGTTTACATCATCAGCCGGCATTTGGACGAAAGAAGAAGGAAAAAAAATATCCCTCGCAGAATTTATCCAATCAATTAGATCTTAAATCAAGTAAATTCACTTGGCTTATCTGAAACAATATGTGAGTCTGTAATGCTGGTATTCTGTGCTCAAGTGGAAAAGTGCAGCTGTGGCAATGAAGTAGACTTTCTACTGTTATTGTTTTGGACTGCAGTTAAAGCAAACCTTTAACCGTAAGATTCACAGCCACCCTCCAATACCTCACCCATTTTTTTCCCTTGTGGCTTTAGGCGGTAGTGTTGCATTTGATATAGCGCCTTATCACGCTGTTGAGATGTCTCAAAGCACTTCACAGAATATACCTTAGAGTGAATTGACTGTATAAAGGGATTATTATCCTCAGAAAGCGATCCTTCCTTTAGCCGACACTTGCACAATCAAGCAGAGTGCCCCGATGCGATTCAGGAGCGAGAACTCTGGCTATTTTTCCCCTTTCTTAGCCCACGATCTAGGGGCCCCTACTGTTCCCTCGGGTTATATCAACTAACTCAGCACAGACCACGTTAACACGGAGCCAAAGAGATTACATGTATTATTAACAGCAAATGAAAAGGTCTTGTCTCAGTGACTTGGAAGAGAGAATGAGGGAGCGGTTTCTCATCATTGAAATGATGCCGAACAGAAATGGTGACTGACGCAATGGAATTTTTAAGGGGCACTGTTTGCATGTCTTTTGACGTAATTTGACTTCTTGTGGTCCAGTAATTTGATAAAAGCAGCCCATAGGTTTCATAATCTAGACTTCCTTAATATTGTGCCTTGAACAGAGACAAGCCTAAAGGGAAATTGAAAGCGACCAGACGTATATTAAGCACATGTAAATTTAAAGCTAAAGCTTCCCTGACGGCTAAGTGAGGAAAGGCAATGTCTGGTGCAGAACAAGTCTTTGAGGTTGCCAGTTTGAATTTGGTCTGTGGTAAGTTACTCAATCTCAACCAACAATAATAATAATAATAATACTTGCATTTGATATAGTGCCTTATCATGTCTTCGAGAAGTCTCAAAGCACTTCATAGAATATACTGTAAATTGATTGTAAAGTGAATTGACTGTATATTTTATGGGCGAAATGCTGCAGCCAATTGCACGCAGCAGTGTCCCACAAACAGTCGTGGATTGAGTGACCAAATTATCATTATTTCTTTTAAGGGATTATTACACCTGCAAATGTGATCCGGTAATTGACTAACAACCGGGTTCTGACTTATTGCTAGGTGAACAGAGGCTTGTAGGTGGAGAAAGGAAACTCGCTGTACACGGGAATCGAACCCGGGTCCTCACGCTTGCAAGGCGAGCGCTCTAACCACTACGCTTCAGGACTGTGCTGGTAAGGTCAAAATGAGGTAGAATTACTGCTGTGAAACTCCAGTCAAAGGACACTGGTGGTAGATGGAATTGGGGATGACGAGCGAGGACCAGGCTTTGCAGTGATGCAACTTGCGGTCAAATGTCTACAATACTCAACATGATGAATCACACATGTTAATACAAATACCATGTATTTTCAGTATATTTCCTGTTGAAATATGATCCACAGATTATGATAGATCAGATGTGTTATATGAGTGTCAATATATATCGCTGACCATATCTGATCTATGATAATCTGTGGATCACACACCACACAGAGGAGTCTTATTAGGAGTGCATTGTACAAACCATGTACTGCAGGCATTCGACAATACACTTTCACTACACTTTACAATATATCCTGGGAAGTGCACTGCTCCCGTAGTGAAAGTTGTTCTGTAGCTCAGTGGTTAGAGCACTCGCCTCGCAAGCGAGAGACTTGGGTTTGATGCCTGGCGGGGAGAAATTTTGGGCACGTTTCCTTACTCCACGCGCCCACGTTTACCTAGCAGTAAGTAGGAACCCAGTTGTAAGTTGATTGGCAGATTGCTTTTTCCGGGGGTAATAATTCCTTCAAAAATTTAAAAAACAACAATAAACTGGTCACTCAATCACTGTTTGTCGGATACTGCTGTGCGCAACTGGCTACCGCGTTTCGCCCACAAAATATACAGTCAATTCACTTTACAGTATATTGTGTGAAGCTCTTTGAGACGTCTCAAAGATGTGATAAGGTGCGACATCAAATGCAAGGACTATTATTATATTTTATTATAAAGGCCCTTTAGAAAATTATTTTTGAAAATTTCTGTGCAAACGCGGGGAAAGTTAAAAGATGCCCTTAATTGTGGGATGAAGAACGAAAAGAGCTACAGAATCTCCAACACGTACACAGAACTGGAAACAGGCGCTAAGGCCAGGCTTTACTTACTAGTGATGGTGTGTGCTCCATTTTCCTCCCCGTTTACAGTGGCTTCTCCATTCTTTGGCGTTGGTTGCTGTGGAGCTGTCGATGCTGTGGCTGGTTGTTGTTGCTGCTGCTGCTGCTGCTGTTGTTGTTGCTGCTGCTGCTGTTGTTGTTGCTGTTGTTGTTGCTGTTGTTGCTGCTGCTGCTGCGCTAGTTTATCTCTGAACGCTTGCTGACGGGTCTGTACAACGTCAGGCATCACGGCGTCTATTAAAGACAGCGACTCAATTGGCCGGCCATCAAACACCGTGCCGTCCTGGGAAAGAAGAGAGATTGTTGGAACGATTTTCAGACAGATAATCAGTGGTTACACATTAATCTTTTGACGTCTGCAGCAGTGTTTTGTAACATGAAGAGCCAATAACTCGTTCACTGTAATAGTATCCGAGACAGCACTGATGGTGGAATTACATAGAACAAACTCTCTAAAAGAAGTTCTGTCACTGTAACTAATTTCAGACAGGCGTGCAGTAAAGTTAACCATCACTTTCCAAATAAATCAAGTCAGGCCTGAACCCATAGTATCGGCTTCAGTGCAGCGGTGGAGCGCTGCATTTATCAGAGGTGCCAACCTTCGAATGAGACATTAAACTTGAGGTCCTGCCATGGCACCGTTCAAAAAGAAAAGGAAGTTTCTCCCAGTGTCCTGACCAACAATCATCTAAATCAACTTTGTCACTCACTTTGTGCCTTTTAGTGGGACATTGCTGAGTGCAATTGGCTGCCACATTTCCTTACAAATACGCAGTCATTACACTTTACAGTTGACGTGATAAGGTACACCAAGTGCAAGGGTTATTATTATTATTGCTCTTTTTGACACCAATTTTCTCCAAAGTATTTATTAAATTCCTTTTTTAAACGCTCTTGTGGAACACTTGGCTTAAGCAGCCATTTGTGGTAAAGCATTCGACATTCTAACAACCCTCTGTTACATAAAAAAAAGCTCTTTCAACTTGCTTTGCCAGAACTGAATGGGTTCAGTTCCTGTATTACACTGAAAGAAAGCAGTGTTTTCTCCCACCACACTGGAAACGAAAACTGCTGATCTCGGTCTCACTTTGTGCCAAAGTCTCTTTGCATACTTTCTCTCTAACTCATTCAACCTCCTGTATGTTCAGCAGATGCATCCAAGAGATCCAGACAGTGTCTGAAATTTTTTTTTGCACGTTCAGCTGAATATAGCGTTGCAATGTAATATCACATGCGGCAGTGCCTACGAGCAGGGACTTTGAACCGTGAATCCGCAAAGGAATCAATAGCTAAGAGCTCTGTGTGATCACGTTCGATACAAGTCTGACTGAACGGAAACTCTGATGGTCAAAAAGTTGTGCCCTAAAAATCCAGTGCTGTGTGTTAATGTGGCTTTGTACCAATTTTCTTTTTTATTGCTGACCAGAGCAGAGCTGCAGTCAACAGCTGCCGAAAGCAAAATTAAAAACCTCCCTCGCACCCACGGGATATGCTTTCTTATTCTCCCTTTACAGCTTGTCATCGCTAATGGTCTCCCCCCACTCCACCCAACCCCACGCTGACACCCAACTTCAACTTCACTGGAGAATCTGCAGAGTAAATCTCAGCAATTGAAGCTGCAGGGTGTGTCAGCCTGACTCAGTGGTAGCACTCTCACCTCTGAGTCAGAAGGTTGAGGGTTCAAGCCCCACATCGGGACTTGGAATCATATAGTCTTAAAGGACACTCCAATGCAGTGCTGGGGGCGTGCTGCACTTTTGGAGGTGCTGTACTTCGGATGAGATGATAAACCAGAAGCTAATGCAAAGATGGATTTCAAAAATAATCTATTAGTCTCCCCAAATTCTGCACAAATGTAAAATCACTGTTGTGTATGAGAATATTCTCACGGCTAAGACCAGAGGAAATTTCGGGTTTTGAACATGGAGCTTGAATCCACAACCTTTTGACCCAGAGGTGACGGTGCTACTAACTGTGCCAAACCATGACATACGCTCGGACTTCAATAGTGCCATTCCCCCAATGTTCTGAATGGTTAATTTTTATTTTTTCTTGTCGTAAAATGAACAGGGTATCAGAGCTGAGCAGAACCTTTCCTGATGTGTATGAGCCCCAGTACGATGGTTGTCTTTCCTGTTAAGTGCTCTGGGACTCCACCCTGCGTGAGGGCTCTATATAAATGCAAGTTGTTGTTGAATCTTTCTTTCACTTTCCCCGATTGCTTTGTTCTCTGAAGGGATGACATTGGATGGGTCAAAGGGCTTTCTTCAACCAGACCAATCTTGTAAATTTGTGATCATATCGATTGACAAAGTACAATACATACAGCAGCGTCTTTCAAATCAGGAGCACATCTCAAGGTCGCTTGACAGAGCGGATGAGCACCTGAGCTGGAGGTGCGAGCTGAGCGGGGTGGGGAGGGGAAATGTTGACCAATGACCAATGGGGAATAAGGAAATGGCAGAGTCATTAAACAAATATTTTGCTTCAGTCTTCACGTTAGAGGACACTGAATACTTACCAAAAATAGAGGGGAACCTGGAGGCTAATGTTAGTGAGGAACTTAAAGAAATGAACATCAGTAAAGCAATAGTACAAGAGAAACGGATTAAAAGGCAATAAGTTTCCTGGACCTGATGGCCTGCATCCTCGGGTTTTAAAAGAGGTAGCTGCAGAGATCGTGGATGCTTTGTTTTTGATCTTCCAAAATTCCCTGGATTGTGGAATGGTTCCCATTGATTAGAAGATCGCAAACGTAACACCGATATGTAAGGGTGGGAGACAAAAAATGGGGAACTATAGACCAGTTAGTCTGACATTGGTGGTAGGGAAAATTCTCGAGTCCTTAATTAGGGTGGTCGTCATTGGGTACTTAGAAAATCATAACATGATTAGGCAGAGTCAACATGCCTTTACGAAAGAGAAATCATGTTTAACAAATCTTATAGAGTTTTTTTAGGATGTAACTAGCAGGTTAGATAGGGGGGAACCAGTAGATGTGGTGTATTTGGATTTCTAGAAGGTATTTGACAAGGTGCCACATAAAAGGCTGTTGCATAAGTTTAGAACCCATGGAATTAAAGGTAATATGTTAGCATGGATTGGAGAGTGGCTAACAGGAAGAAAACAGAGAGTAGGGATAAACCGGGTCCTTCTCAGATTGGCAGGATGTGACTAGTGGAGTGCCGCAAGGATCAGTGCTTGGGTCTCAATTATTTACAGTCTATATCAATGATTTAGATGAGGAAATAGAACTTAACACCTAAATTTGCGGACGACACGAAGATAGGTGGAAGAGTAAGCTGTGAGGATGACACACAAAGAATGCAAAGGGAAACAGACAGGCGAGGTGAGTGGCAAGAAGGTGGCAGATGGAGTATAATGTGGAGAAGTGTGAAGTCATTCACCTAGGTAGTAAAAATAGAAAAGCAGATTATTTTCTAGAGGGGGAGAGGCTAGGTGGTGTTAATGTTCAGAGGGATTTGGGTGTCCTTGTACACCAGTCACAAAAAGTTAGTATGCAGGTACAGCAAGCAACTAGGAAGGCTAATGCTGTGTTGGCGTTCGTTGCAAAAGAGTTAGAGTACAAGAGTAGGGTGAGACCGCACCTAGAATACTGTGCACAGTTTTGGTCTCCTTATTGAAGAAAGGAGATACTCGCCTTGGGAGGGGGCGCAGCGTAGATTCACTAGGTTGGTTCCTAGGATGAGGAGGTTGACCTACGAGGAGAGGTTGAGTAAACTAGGCTTACATTCTCTAGAATATAGAAGAATTAGAGGTGATTTTATAGAAACCTATAAAATTCTTAAGGGTCTTGGCAGGATAGATGCTGTGAGTGCTCCAACCACTGAGCTACAGGACTCCACAAACTAGAGATCATAGTCTCAAGATTAATGGTCAGCCTTTTCGAATTGAGTTGAGGAAATATTTCTTCACTCAGAGGGTAGTGAATTTGTGGAATTCTCTACCCCAGAAGGCTGTGGATGCTCAGTCCTTGAACATATTCAAGACTGAGGTTGATAGATTTCTAAAGGATAGAGGGATTAAGGGATATGGGGATAGAGTGGGTAAATGGAATTAGGTTAGAAGATCAGCCATGATCTTATTAAATGGTGGGGCAGGTTCGAAGGGCTGAATGGCCTACTCTTGCTCCTACGTCTTATGGTCTTATGGACTAATTGAACGAGGGGATGGGATACCTTGCTTAAAAGAGCAGCTCAGTCATGGATGACTCAGGCTGTGATCAGTTTGCACCTTAAAGAAGAATGTACGCTTCAGAAAAGGCAAAGGGCCCTTCTCTTAAAATTAGAGCTGTCTGTTAAAGAGAGATCAGAAATCGTTTCTTCACCCAGAGCGTTGCAAGAATGTGCCCCAGAAGTTCGTGAAAGGCAGCATCAATTCAGATGTTAGAAAAATACAGATAGAGCAATACTTACACATACAACAACAACAACAACAAGATTCCATTTATAAAGCGCCTTTCACGTCAGGAGGACACACAGAATACACACACACGCACACAATAAACATATATATACACTCAGAATAAATAGATCCACATATACACGTGGAAAGTAAAGGTATTAATGGGTTATCAAGAAAATGCAGGAAATTGGATTTAAAAGATCTTCCAGGATCTAATAAACTGGTGGAACAGGCGTGATGGGCTGAATGGCCTCTCCCTGCTCCTGTTTCCAGCATGGCGCTGCTAAAAAAATAAATTGGGTTTTCAGCACACATCCATAGACCAGACCAGAAAGCCACACAAGTGGTATATATCATTGGACCGTGGAGCTTAAAATCCTTACGTTCCAGTTACTCGGAAGCTTAATTCCGTGAAACAGGACAAAGCAATAGATGTTCCTCTGGGATAAGAGGTATAGTATTCTGCTCCAAATACATTTAGTGAATTTGTCCCTGAAGGTTATATTAATTTCTAAGCGAATCTTGCTGAATGGAGCAGAATAGTGTTTTGTCCACATCAATGAATTTGCCACATGGAGCACACAGTGCAGATTAACCTCTCAGGATAACGGCAGGATGGGGCAGAACAAAAGAGAGGAAACTCATACAACCAAAGGACATTTTAAATAAAATAAGGCATGTTTTCTTTTGAAATTGTAACAAGGCTACAGGCTCCAGCCTGCTCCACGTCCCCCGCCCTGCCCGCCCCACCATTGGCGGTCGGCCCTACAGCCTCTCTGCCCCCACCCCTTGGAACTCCATCCCACATTCTCTTTGACTCGCTCCCTCCTTTGCCTCCTGCAAAACATGTCTCAAGAC